CACACACACACACACACACACACACACACACACACACACACACACACACACACACACACACACACACACACAAAACATAATTACTACTTTTTCAACCATTACTTCAAATTTACCCTAAATGGAAACCTACCCTGAAATGTATGACTTACATCATCAAGAATTATCCAGACTCCAGAAGCGAGGCAGATTTACACCCACACAACATGAGTAATATAGTAATCTTTTACCACTGCAGATTTTACATGTGCTTCATCACACGTCCCCTGCACTATATGGGGCTTTTGTCATTTTCTCTAACTTGTGCCTTCTTGTCTCCTCTGCCTTCTTTCCCGTGACCTGAAAATCAATCTCGGTGTGCCATCATGAAGGATGTCTCAACACCTAAAATGAATCAGCAGGAGAAAGGAATGAGGAGAGAAGAAGCTTTGCTGGAGAAGTTATGATCCAGGATATGACATGTGTGTCCTATGTGGAAGTTTGTTTATGCTCGATGCAGGGAGGTGTGACAGGCAGCCGGAACACGGAGGAGGAGGATTCCACAGATAAGTACACCTTCATGCTAAACTACGGGGAAAAAAGTCTGACATCTGCACGTTACTGACACACTGAGCTGGTCTGTGCACGAAGGAAAGATGGAGGAAATGATGTGCAAGGAGGTTTAGTAAGGAAAGGAAACAAGGATGTACAAGGCAAGCAATAAGAAGGGGGCCGGTGTTGGTCTCTTGTTATCACTGATTACAACAGATGATAACAGCCTTTAGAGCGTGCCAGCAGGTAGGGGAGGGTAACGGCCTAAAGGCAATATGCATGAGCCTGATAATAGCCATTCAGCAGGCTGATAACAGGCAAACTGGATATACAGACAGACAGAGGACAGCTTATAACAGGCAGATATTATTCAATCCCTGCAATCAAGCAAGATGGCATACGACATGTTTTCCCAGTTGATTTAAAATGCAGAATATAATCCATGGAGTCAAACCCAGGAGAAAGCCACGACTCCAAACCGCTGAACCACAAGGGACCGTGATACAGAAGACATAGGTAATATATCTAACTATATAGTGAAAGTTTTAAAGTAGTAGAAAGCTGTTAATTCTGGAAACTGATTGGATTACTTCCATCAAGAAGGCTATGTGATTGGCTTGGTTTGGTCTGTTTGTTTGTCTCTTTGTTAGCAGGTTTGCTCAAAAAGTTGCGACACATTTGCAGGCAAATTTTACCACACCACCTCTAGGCTAAAGGGATTAAAATGATTTACACTCTGGATCCAGATCCAGGAATTTTGGGAGGAATTCTTTAACAATGGCAAAATTTAACGTTTGGCCAAAAACCTGTGAATCACCGTCGTAATGTTCTCAAGAAAATGTTACAAACTGAACTGGATCCAGATAGCTTTTTGTACCCATACACTCAAATCACCATATCAATACAAACATACTCATACTCAAACATGCTAATACCTGCAGAAGGAGTCCACTGAGAGCAATTGAGAGGCACTGCGCCCCTCTGGAGCCAAGTGGGTACAAAGCACCGTCTTCAACCCCAAGAGGTCTGAGCCCAACCAAGCCAGGACCAGAAGTCAGACACACAACTTCCGATGCCAGGTCAGTATCAAGCAGAGCCTGCAGCAGCCTCAGGTAGCTGACTGGGAAGAGGAAGATAGAGGAAAATTGTAAATGTCTGAAAAAGCAGAGCAAATAAAGAGAATGATGGAATGTCTAAGCAAAGGAGGGTGAAAGAAAGAGAGAAGGAAAATAAATGTGGAAGGCAAGGCCACAGAAGAAAGAGGTCCACAGCACAACAGAAAGCAGCGAGTGTGTGAGTAAAAACTGAAAAAGATGGTAACAATCATGGAGCAGAGGGTGCAAGAGTACAGCTGAAAGGAACTGAGAGCAATTTTTTTATAAGAGACGTGAGAGAAAGAGAGGGCAAGAAGTTAAAGATGTCAGTGCCAAGTACACAGAGAGAGAGTGCAAGGCAGAACGAAGTGAAGGAAACTGAAGGAAGTTCAGCGAGACCCAAGTAGTGATGGAGAAAAAGCGAACAACAGGGGTAAAAAGACTCCTAAAACACAGTGGAATCCAAACTTAGTGCTGCCAGCCATCTGAATCCCACTTAATGCCATGTACACTGAGATTAGAGCCCTCTGAGGGAGAGAGGACTCAATTAGTGGCAGAAGAAAAGAGGGAAGAGAGACAGGCCAAAGAGATAGAGAGAAACGGGAAGAGTTGGAAATATACGGGCAGGCTGGGAAGAAGCATAGGGGAGATAAAAATTGAGAGAAAGACAGAGAAAGGACGCTGAGTGACTAGAAAGAGAGAGAGAGAGGCAGGCAGAGGGAGGGAGCCAATACATCACAGCAACTCTGACAGGCCACTTATCCAGCTGACAGACAGAGATGCAGGAGCAGCAGGGATGATCTGTCTCCCAGTGCAGCAGTGGGATTGGGGCCACTTAATATAATGAAAGTGTGTGAAATGCATGGTTTGGTTAACTCCACTGAGGATAACACATTGACTTTACGTATGTACATGTAAACCAAGCAAAGGTGGACCCCATTAGTACCCTCTGGTTTGCACAGTATATGGACAGATGTTACATTAATCAGGGATGCCTAATGCTACTCATATGAACACAGGTATCTTGGTCTTATGGACCTCCCGATGTTTTCATAATTGCGTTGGACAGGGAAACCGAGTAGCACAAAATTCTGGAACAGATGACTCAAGACACAAATCTGGAAGAATAAAAGCAAATTGAGGAAAATAGAAAAACACCAGCCAACCACAAATGCAGAATTTTCAGCCAAGTGTCTTTTGTATTCTTGGGTCACACACTGTTGCTATAATTTCAGCGCTAATGAACTGTTTTGCCGCCGGCTGTCTGCATGGGATGAAGACTTATAAAAACAATCAGTAAAATTTGGTGTCTCTTACTCAGCAGGAGACTGTCTGTGTTTCTCTTCTGAGTAAGGAGTCGCTGCACAGCTGTGTCCAGACTCCAAGTGATGCTCTTACGGACCTTAAATAATAGAAAATGAGAGAGAGAGGGTAGAAAATAAGAGAGAGAGGGGAGGAATCAGGAATATAACAAGATTAGGACTGAAATCTTTGCGAGTTAAAATGCATTATTATCCCTGCAGTGCCGGCTGAAAGCAAAGAAGAAAGCGTGTTATTTTGTACCACGGCCTCACTGAGATATGCATCAAGCAAATCCAATTTCTGTTTTGCATTCTGCCCCTATATCTCAATCTATACCCTACTTTACATTATGCTGTGTCTTGCCCTTGACTGTATGAAGTTGTATCGTGAAGTTGTGATAAGAGCAGAGCTGAGCTGTTGTGTGTACCTGAGTGGAGTGAACACGCTGCAAGGTAATGAGGGAGGACAGGAGTAGATGGCAGCAGCACAGCAGGGCCAAAGGAGGACAGGCTGATGGAGAGAGGGATGTGGCAGAGGAAGAGGAGGAGGAGGAGGAGGAAGAGGAGAAGACTGTCTGCAGCTGGTCCATCAGCCCGCTGTTAGAGAGCAGCATGGAGACAGCTGGGAAAGAAAAGGAACAGTGTCATCACACTTTAATGGGACGTGTGCTTCTGTTTCACTGCGCTGTGCGTGGGTTTTGATAGCAGCTGGTCCTTATGACTGCAGAGTGACGTGCTGCAGCAACAGACCCACAACAAAGCAAACACCTGTGAGGTCTTTGTAACATAACTAAGTGAAAAATATGTTAAACTATACTGTTCTCTATTCATAAACACTGATATTGCTGTTTTACCATATACATGTGGGCAGGCTGAATAATTTAAACAATGTGATAATAGAACAATATGACACAAGGGCAACAAGATGCAAACAAAGCATCACCTCCAAGTGCTAAAAAAATCCCCCCAAATGACACAATCTTAAAGTAATAATATGTTCTTTTCGCTTTGAAACAGAGTAATGTGTTCCTTCTCCTTTGCACCATCACTGAAATAGTGTCTAGCCTGAGGCTGAAACAGGTAGCTGTAAACTGATCACTAGTGATAATGAAGGCTGAATACATAGAGAGGCTGCAGGAGAAGCTGCAAAGTAGAGCGCCACAATTAATCGAACTTTAATCCCAATTTTGTCTTCCCATAATTAAATGAGCATGATCGAGCGATACTGAAAAAGCGCACTTCGCCAATAGAATGCAAAGCAAAATTAAGCGCTCCCTAAATCACGTGCCTGCATGTGCCAGTTTCCTGGAATAACACTACACCAAAAGATACACATGAATATGCAACAAAACTCAAATGTCTGGCAGAGCAGAGAGTGAAGGGCTTGTCTCTAGAATCTCTAGATCAGGTGTGGGGGAACTCCAGGCCTCAAGGGCCGGTGTCCTGCAGGTTTTAGATGTGTACTTGATCCAACACAACTGATTTAAATGGCTAAATTACCTCCTCAACATGTCTTGAAGTTCTTTAGAACTAATCATGTGATTCAGGTGTTGACCCAGGGTGATGTCTAAAACCTGCAGGACAGAACTTATTCAACTGAACTGTCCGAAAAAATACTACAGACTCAAATCGTTTGATTTTTATTTGTAAAACACCAAATCACAACAACAGTGACCTTAAAGCACTTTATATTGTAAGGTAAGAACTCTAGAATAAGAAAGAGAAAACCCAGCAATCAGAAACCCCTTATGAGCAAGCACTTGGCGATAGTGGGAAGGAAAATCTCCCTTTTAACAGGAAGAAACCTCCAACAGAACCAGATAAAGGGAAGGGCAGTCATCTACTGCAAAAAAACTGCAGTATATTGAGGCATGAAACCCAAGAAAGCTACATCGTGGTTGCTAATGTAAGTCATCCAACATGAATTCAGGCATCCATAAAAGTGCAGCTGCGCATGCATCCAGCTCACAAAGACGCACTGAAATCACAAATGCAATCGCACTCCACGTGCAGTAACGACAGTGAATTACGAACACTTCAGGAAAATGGTCAACACACCGGACAAAAGATATGTCACCCCCTCGCACAATTATTCCAAAGTGGCAACACCTGTGCTGTATGCAAACCTTGGAGGGAAAATAAAGCCGTCGAGTACTTTGCTAGGGGTTTTATTGACAACCTTTTTATTTTGCTTCTAGAGATGCACTTAGACCAGGTGAACAAACACCTTATTTGTCTGCAAAGATGAATTTACGGATTAATTAACAGGAACAGAACACAAAATAAAGGTGCCCTCTTGCTCTGCAGGCCATTTTCTTTTTAAATCTATTTTACTTTTTTCAAAGGGGTGCACTGTATTTAGGTGAATGAGGACAAATTTTATTTTGATGCAAAGATCTGTACATATATGGAAATGTAATATCAGCGTTCTGTTTACGTGAAAGTGCAATAAAAACACATTTATCACTAAAATCAATGAATAATCGGACAAATAATGTGGATCTCCGTACTGATGAAAATAATTGTTGTCCATAATCGCGGAGCCTTACTGCAAATTAATACCACTGACATTATTAGCTTTGCTTCCCAATGGTAACCCTTCTTTCTGACCTCCAAGTTAACCAGAGAAGTTGGTGTACTGGTTAGCACTGTTGCCTCACAGAAGGCATATTTCTGGGTCAAACCACAGTTGGAGTCTTTCTGTGTTCCTGCGTGGGTTCTCTCCAGCTACTCCGGTTTCCTCCCACAGTCCACACATACAGTATGCATGCTAAGTTAATTTGCGATCCTAAATTGGCCATAGATGTGAGGTGGATAAAGTGCTTTAATTGTAAAAAATAGAGCAATGTTTGAGTAAAATGAGACTTTGAGAATAAACACTTTGAGCACTCAGCATGACTAGAAAAGAATACCCTGTAACTGATCAAATAAATGTCTGTGATAAGGGCAGTGTAACAGGTCTGAAGGCATACTTTTGTCTGTTGTGAAATATATTCAAGTATTAATTTCTCAAGCTCTTTAGTACCTGATACTTTTGTGTTCTGGCTCATTGACTGATTGAGCGACTTTGGTTTTAAAGAGAGATTTCTAAAAATAAAAGCTTTAGTGAAACTCTCTTGGAAAAACCCCCTTATGTTATCACACATCTTCCAGCTGCACCTAATTACTGATTTTGTTCGTCTATATATGGATTTATGTGAGATTTCTTACCTTAGAAACCTACATGTTGCCATGGCGGTAAGTGCTATTTGTGTTTGGACCTGTGTGTTACAGGTATTTAGCTGTAGCAAGGCGACGACACGAGTCTGCCAGTCATTGCTTTTGTGCAAATGTGCGACAAGCTCACAGACTTGACACCGTAACAAAAGACAAGAGCCAAAGACAATGTCCACGACCGAGCCAAAGCCTGTGTACCATTTGTAGTGCAGGTGTGAGCTTTTACGGTTATTATTTGCTTTGTGCCTCAGTACAACGTGCATCAAGGTCAGCCTCTCGCTTCTCTCAAACAGGCGAGTGGGGAGCGAAATGAAAAGACAGCAAGAGGTGAGAGAAACATACTGAGACAGAGGGTGAAGAGGCTGCGTGTGTGAAAGGTGTGACGTTAAGAGAAGGAGTGAATAAAAGGCACAGAGACCATGCAGAGTGTAACTAAAAGTGGCAGTAAGAACGTGTCTAACCTCTGTCAGTGCAGTGTGCAGGGGACAGGCTCAGGCAGCAGTACAGGTAGCTGATGGCAGGCAGCAGGCTCTCTGTTTTTATAGGCTTCAACCTCCCTGCTACGTTGCTCACTGACTCACACACACACACACATAAACACACGGGCATTATTTCTGGGAAATATACCTTTACTGCACAGCTGACCCTAAATGTAATGTAAAATATAGTCGAGTATCCAACAGTTTTCTCACTCTTTCATCGATGATTTTATCTGCGGTGCTCTCAAGGATTTTATACAGGGGCATTCAAATGTGATGTAGCAGATCAAATGTAACATTGTGGGCTTTGTCATTTATTGCATGTCGTGGTGCGTCAATAACAGTGAAAATGCCTGATCAAAACATTCATGATGCCAAAAACATTGCAATATATAGGGGTTTAGTATAGCAGTATATCATTATTAAAGAACAACAAGACAAGATCCAAGAGTAACAGTTATCTTAAAGATCATGATAGGATATTTTTTAAATAAAAAAAGAAAGTGTGCTTGCAATACTCTAAAGAAACCATAGGGTTACTAGCACCCTTATTTGAGAAACGCTGCAAAAGACAGTGGGCTGAAATATACAATTTACAACTGAGGATGAGGCTCCAAATATGCAGTATAAAGAAAAAAGTGGTAAGCCACAGAGGGATGAGTGTTGCTGACATAAAGACGAAAAGCAAAGCAAATTAGACCCTTGTAACAGGCATGGAGTTATGAGTTACCGTCTAGTAAAGTTCAGTGCAGCATTTTGATCTGCAGATCAGCAGAAAACGCTCCTCTGAGTATGTTTGTGAGGATGGTATTAAATCAAAGGTGAGTGAGGAGTAATTGAAATACAGATGAATGCAGAAGAGGAAAAAAACAGGACAACATTGTCTCTCTCGCTAGATAATTGTGTTGCTGTGTAGTAAGATGGCATGCCGGCGATGCTGTAAGAAAGGGAGATGCAGTCTCTGTGAATGACTGAGAGAGCGAGCTGACTTGTTTGCCTGCTGTCGGAGCTTTTCTTGGTATCACTGTAAGAGAAACTGTTTGCTGTAGCGATCATGTTGCTAAATCTGCCTCTTAACATAGGGGGCTTGAGCGGTTATTCGGATATTTTAGATAAATGCAGGGAGAGAGAGCTGTGCTCAGCGTGACATGTCAGCAGCACCTTGGGGCCTCACCATGGTATAGCAGTTTGAAGTGCACTCCTTCCATATTACTGTAATGGGGAGATGAAGGTGGATCATTGGCCTGCGTCACACAAAGCAGCTTCAGCACCAGAGGGAGTGAGTTCACTGCTCCATAAAAACAGACACAAACAAAAACAAACCAGAAAAAAGAAAAGGTAAGACAGAGGATGGAGTGTGACAGAGCGAGAGATGAGAATGACAATGAATTAGCATTTTCTCTCAAGTCATTACTTTAGTCTGGAACCTGTTGTGCACATCATTTGTCAACAAAGCCAACACAGAGGATGTGGTCCAAACATGCACTCTATAGGATGAAGGATTTCTTGCATTCACTTGTGGTTTTTATGAAGTTTGGTTTCCCTAAGAGGGATTTCTGGAGCTAACACAAGTCATCGTGAAGAGAAAGGAACCGGGAGGAAATGACCACATCTTACTCAGAATGATTAAAAATGACCACACACACACTTTAGAAACCAATATTAGGTGTCTAGATATAGCTAGGATAAATGGTGGCATAAGAGGGTGGAGAAAAAGGACTAGAGGGGACAGGAGACAAAGGGCAAGGGGACTTTAACTGGAAAGAAACTTCAGGCTGAACAGTCATCTACATTCCCCTTTCACTGCTGTATTGCATAACATTAAAATATCTCCCCTTTGGGATGCCGCCGCACTGAAGCTAATATAAAGTATATATTAATGCAAATTACAGTGGGCTGAATTGGAACATGTGGAGGGATAACAGGCTGTAATTCCCTCAGGGCCCGGGATGAGCAGAAAGCAGGCAGAGGCTAACCACAGCAACAGTTTCTGAATCCCCAGCTGCTGCTGTTGTGCCCTTCAGCTGTGCTCATTAACCTGGGCAAGTACACAGACGTAATAACACCATACGGCAGACACCTATAACAAAAAAATACATTATTTGCACATTTGCATTCTTTTGTTCTTTTTTTCATTGTTACAAACCTTCAATTTCAGCATTTATGTCATGGTTTTATGGTTCTAATAAAGATACAGCAGCCTTCTGAAAACAAGTGAGGCTCAGATGCTAGTTTAGGCAGTCCACTCAAGCTAATTTATACCCGTGTGACATGCTACACTCTCCTCAAATTCTGTTTAAGATGTAAATGTCTCATCTCTCCCTCCAACATCTCAGTGTCTGCACTGCTGCCTGCAGTTTGACCCCTCCACCACCCCTGCATCCACCTGCAGGTTCCAGCAGGAGATTTTTTTTTAACTATTTACTGTGTTTCACCAGGAAGATAACAGAGATCAAATCTCTTTCACCAGCGATCTAGCCAAGGCAGCAGTCATACAAGCTCATAACATATCAAAATATGCAACACACGCTCTATGCTTTCGATGAGCTCCCAGCGCAGAGCCCAACATGCAGCTAAATTAAAAATTCAAATGTGAACTGATTGAGTGAAATGGTAATAACGACCAATTCTACATATATAACTGTTTAATGTAAATTAAGTCAACAGAGAAGAGCCAAAAACACGTTTTTCCTAAATTTCCTTTGTTGGCTCCACAAGCAAATCCAAAAGCTAACGAATGGCTGTACACATCCATCATAAAATGCACAAATTCAGAGATGAAATAAACATGTTTACAGCCTGGTAAACAAAATGTTGTAGCTGGTATAGCTAATGAATGTTCAGACATTGCCAGCTTTAGCCAGTCACTGTCTACTGTCCTTTAACTCCACAAACTGTAGTCAGTGAAGTGGACCTCTCCACCGTGTTTTTGGTTCGCTTTGGAGTATTTTTAATACAATAATCTGACAAATAATTTGAACTGAAGCCAGTTACAGTTCATCCAAGAGGTTTATATGGCAGTTTTGGTGAGTGATTTGTAGTTTTAAATAATCTGGTGTCTGTGGCTATGCTAGCATTATCTGATAACTTAGCATTCCAGAGAGTTAAGGTGGCTCCCACCATAAGACTTCAACCTGAAGAGTGCACAAACTGATGGGTGGCATCATGATGGCTACGTCCATCTACTAAATACAGTCTATGAGCAAAACAAGTGAAGTGAAATTGTCTGACCTAATCTGACTGTGTCCAGTTACACCCCAGTTTATGGTATCTCACCTTCCACTGCCTGGTCGAGGAATTCATTTTACGAGGTTTTTTCCTTCCAGCATTAATCAGAGGCGACGGAGACTTTTTCTTGCCATTTTAATCCAATTCAAAACCAACCATATTTTAGGAGGCTTTGTTATTCCAGTTCACTTAAAATGAGATTTATATGGCAGGTTGGTTATAAGAAATAGCACTGCACTTAAACTGAGCACTGTGTCCAGCTGCTGTTAAGTCATATTTTAGGATATACCAAGCCTCATCCGACTGCCACAAATTTTTCTTTAATTTAAATAAATTCAAGTCAATATAATCTTTGTGCCCATGTTTGCTCTGCAATAAATGTTCTTATCTGAACAGCTGTGCTTTTCTGCAAATGTACTAATTTGAAAAAGAAGAAAAAACACAATTATCATTAAACAGCTCTTCTGCTATCTCTGAATGTCACTATAACAATCGTTTAAAGCAGAAAGAAAATGCTGCCAGAGAAAATGGACTCGCAAACGTAAATCAGCGCAGGTATCCTTTCAAAAGTTGCTTTCCATATTTGAGAATAATTAGCCTAAGTGCTTTCCATTATATCGCACAAGACATTGTGCCAAACGCTCCAATTAATCCGTGTACATTACTTAATAGATGTTTTATTATGGTATATGCCAACTGTTATTTTTAACCCCCAGTAAAACATCTTGGCACGCTCACGTCACGGTTATGGAGCAAAAGATGAATTGATTGTGAAAGTTGTTTTTCTTTAAACAAAATACAAATGCATTTTTAATATATTACTATTCTACTAGCTTCCATTAGTTTTTGATTATTTATGCCAGAAGAACTAACAACATCTGCAAACACGAAGACACATAAACTTGCTAAATTTCCCTAATTTAATTCAATTAAATTTGGTATCCTAGATACAGAAAAGCTCACCAATCAACAGCATGCAATCCTTCTTCGTTTGAGCTGTGATGAAAAGCCTGAGTAATAAACTGTGCTAATAACTGTGGAGAGACAATAAATCAAAAATAGCTCTTTTTAAATGAAAATCTTTTTTCTTTTCAAGTCAAAATGATGAGAAGGGCATCTCAAACCAAACAGCTCAGGTGTGGCTGCTGCTGCTTCACTTGGATAAATCTTCCAGTGTCTGCTGTGTGGAGAGAGAAAAAACCCCGACATGCGTTTGATCTATTATGTCTCACTGTGTGGGAGCCCACTACCTCACCCTGCAGGTGGATGTGTTCCTGTGTACTGTGTGGATGAGCTTGTGCTGAGTGGGTTTGAAACAGCTGAAACTTTTATTTGCTACAAAATGTTTTCATTTGGATGACTAAGAAAGACGAACAAAACAGTGTCCCACATGATGAAACTCAAACTCTGGGGGCCGAGCTGCAACGTTTACCTCTATACATCGACTGTAATTAACCGTATCCGCGATTTAATGAGACATAAGTGAGCATGAAGCCAAATCAGCTGGCATTAATGTCGATGCGCAACGCTGAGTGGTGAATTCATTCATTCAGAATGGTGAATCACTTTATGTGTGAGAAAATTAATCTATTAGTATAGTGCTGTGTTTTGTAACCACAGAGTCATAATTATTAACACAGTTATTAAGGCATTAGCGCTCATCCCTAAATTCGGGATCAAGGTTTAAAAAACAGAGCTGAGGACACATTTTCGGTGGAAGTACACACAGAGTCTGAAAGTTGTCTGAGAGGTCACGTTGTAAAGTGAAAATTAATTTATCAATATACTTTGAGTTAAAAAAAAGACAGTAATGTGCAAAAGTCTTGATCCACCCCTCATTTCTAAATAAGTACATATATTAGAAATTATACTTATCTATCACAAATCTATCACATGGTACTTAAAAACCTCTACTTTCTTTATATTTTGCCATTTTTGGAAAAAAGGAAATAGACACAGGAATTTATTGAAACGTGCAAACATACATGGAAATACAGAATATAATAAAGTCTATATTTGGCATGAGCACCTTTATTCTTTGACACAGTCTGGACTCTCTTAGGCAGCTTTCTTGTCATTTCTTTAAGCAGTCTTCAGGAATAGTTGCTTCTTTGGATGTTGGCTGCCTTTTGTTCTGTTCTCTGCTTCAATAATGTTGCGGTCTGGGCTCTGGGAAGGAAAATCCATAACTGATAGTGTTCCACTGTGTGGTTTTTATCCTATCCAGGTATGCTTTTACTGCATTGGCAGTACGTTTGGGATCATTTATTATCGCTGAAAAACGAAGCCGTTGCCAATCAGATGCTTTCCAGATGGTACTGCACTATTCTGCATTCATAATTCTATAAATCTTGACCAGATCACTAGCAACACTGTATGAAATGCAGCCCCAAATCACGTCCGAGCCTCCACCCTGTTTTACAGATGGCTGTAGACACTCACCATTGCACCTCTCTTGTAACTGCTGTACAGACGGATGATGATTTGTACCATAAATTTTACTTTGGATTCATCACTACATCAGACCAGTCGCCACTGATTTTCAGTCCAGTTCTTGTGTACATGGGCATATCTCAGCTTTTGTGCCTGTTTACCGTCACTATGAATAGCTTCTTGATGGCCACCAGGCTCAGGATTTGTTAGCTGTTCGTCAGACAAGATTAAACACTAGCGAGGACAGAGCCTTTCAGTCTGTGGCACCAAGGCTTTAGAACAGTCTCCCACTAAACTACATTTAGCCGATTCTGTGGACTCTTTTCAGAACCTTTTCTATTCAACAAGGCTGTTTAGATTCTTATTGCTATAACAGATTTTCTTAAAATTACCTATTTCTTAAAATTTACCTTTATTTTATTTTGTGCCTTAACTTCATTTTATATTAGCTCTGTTAGATGAATCATCTGAAGGATCAGATAAATCTCTCAGGTGCTCTGCCAGGACTTTTCCTCTTTCTAAAGGACATGCCTTTCAGATACTGCTTACCTACTGCGGATAGTTTTTTAGGTCTGCCACTTCTTCCTTTCCTCCATTTGTCCATTTTCCTCATTTTTCTCAAGGACACACTGCACACTATGCTGAGATATTGTTAGGGTCTGGGCAGGCTGTTTTCCCCTCTGTTTTCTCCTTCTGTCTCTCTCTGTTCTCTCAGACAGAGAGGTGGGCTTTACCTGTGTCTCCACCCACAGGCGAAGCCGCCACTCACGCACTTGCGCCCATTGCCTCATTACGGTACGTAAGGACCGGCTGAGGCAGTTGTTCTCTCAAAATTGGATCTTCCAGTTTAGTTTTTGCTTTTGTGTTTTCTGCTCAGTAATTTTCTGAGTTCGTTGTTCGTTTCCTGGTGAAGCTACTTGTGCTCTCTTGAGGAGTCTAAAGATCACAGCTGGCCATTTTCCTCTTCCACTCTAAGAGTCAGTCAGCCCCTACCTGCCCACTCTCCATTAAGCTTTCTTCGCCTACCCTGGATTTCAGTCTGCCCACCTGCTACTCCTCCATGACTCAAACACAGAATCTAACAAGTGAGATCTCAGAGTTGAATAACCCTTGCACATCTCTATTGCTGCTACCTTCACTAACTACCAGTCTCCCTCTCTGCAGACCCTCTCTGGGCTCATCTGACAGAAACACTAGCTGCCTAATTGCTCATCTGCCTGTTGTTAACTTAATTCAGTCTCTAAATAAACCTTATAAGCCTTTTATTGTTGGTCTACATCTGCTCCCAGTGTCTAGTAATTGCAATACCATACCAGATACACTAAGTTTTTAGCTAGCAGCTCTTTGGTAATCAACTTGGTGGCAGAAAAACACTATTTTACGCTAACTGTGTTAGCTTTGGCATTTTTCATAGTCAACTAAAGAAATGCAAACACTGTGGCTTTAGAGCAGGCTTCTAATAATGAAGTGGCAAAAGATGCAACTGAGAAGTGGCTCTTTGCTAGGTTGTCTGTTATGTATAGACAGACCACTGGTTCATCCCTTGAGTTACAGTAGGTGCTTTTTTCTGCTTGAATGATGAATGACAAACAAACAAGCATCCCTGAAAATGTTCAGGTAGTCTGACTCGTCGGCAGCAAGAAAGCAAGAAAGACAGCAAGAAATGAGGAGTGGTTTGAGACTTTTGCACAGCACACTACACGCTGACTGTTTGTGTACATACACCTTTAAATATGTATTAATAAAATAATGAATGTCTCTGCACACAGATACAATCAGCTGTTCCAACAGACAGGACCCCGTTCACAGCAGAGCCTACTTAAAAACTGTTGTGCTATAAAAACAATTGGAGTCACACATATTATGCTAAATGCTTTCCCTGATTGAGGCACATTAACTTTAAATGAAAGACTCCATTACCGCTTCATCGCTGCACGGCGAGTGCGCGAAGCTGCCGCCAGAGGTTTTATGCTGTGCGGTTTATCTCTGTATTTCCCAGAGAGAGCTTGCAGAAGTTTGAATTAAAACTGCTCTCTCAATTTTTTTAATCAGCTCTCCATGAAGCTGATAAAAATGTTACCTGGTACATTTTGGGGAAAAAAAGAAAAAGAAAAAAATTAAAGTGAATTTTGTTTCATCTTTTCTATTCTGGTGCATCTATTCTCATTAATTTAAATACAATAGAGCCACAGTTACGCTGATTCCTGTGCAGATTATTTTGCTTTGAAGATGCTAGAGGTGTTACAATATAAGCTCTGTGTTTCTTACCCTGTGCAGCGTATTCCTGTTCAAACCCATGGTCTGTGTTCACCACACTGACCCGCTGTAGGGCCTGGAGCAAGGCTGGTCTTAGCTTTGTACACAGGTTTATGTTGTAGCCTCTTTGACCTCCCAGAAGAACTTCTAGTACACCCAACACTCGCTCAGCTAGAGGAGCCTCTCTGGTGCAAACCATGTCCTGTGGTCAATTAAAAAAGTCACAACAAAGAAGGCACATCCATTTAGAATATCTCTTGGTAACAGTATTATCCCAAAGCAGTAAAGCGAATCAGTTCAATGAAGACAACTGTAGCCTAAAGAGGAATTACATATGGCAGCATGGCTCTTTCTGGGACCTCCCCACCCTTTCATGTGCATACATGAGAGCAGCAGCGAGACCCCGATACAGAACAGAGCAGACATCGGTGACTACAAATATGAAACTGATTAAGTCAGGCACAGCATGAAAAGGAGGATCTGTGGTGGAGGTGACTGGTACAGTGGCTTGTGTGGGCAGCAACTGTGGGCAGGTTAAAGAAGTTTAACCAGCATGTCCTATATGAGATCTGCAAGCTGGATATTTAGGAGGGTATGACGTGGGGCTGGCACGGAGAATTTACTCCATGCTCGATTCAAATTTTTATTCCAAACAGCTCCCTTTACAATGCAGCATTCAGCTGCATAAAAATGTGTTCATTTGAATATAGCAAAGTCATTAACTCTGAACTCTTATTCAAGGTCTCTGGCTCTCACCAGGAGGGTCAGTATGACAGCTGGGTACTTCTCCATCACAGACAGCAGCTCCATGGTTTCTGTGTCTGTCTTCTGATCCGACCTCTCATCTGCACGGCTTTCTTTCTCCTCCTGTGTGTCTGCCTGTAAGACCAGATGAAACCCAGCCACCTTTTCATCAACTCTGACTTACCAGAGTTGAAGGGAATTCAGGAAAATACACCCCAATGTGTCTCTAAGACTTGCTCTGTCAGAGTGAAACTAATTAGTGAAAGTTGCCGGAGTGAAAGAAGCAAATTGAGTTCAGTAAAATCACTGAATTATTCAGAAATACTTGCTGGGATACAGTTTAAGCAGATGTCTCATTACCGGGGTAGGCCCTGTGTTTGTGTCCTGTTCCTTGGTCAACCACAGCTCCAAGACCAGGGCGGCAAATTTCTCTGCCAGCTCAGGGTATCGACACATGAAGTGGATCAGCGCAGGATGGTGAAAGTAGAGCGAAGAGAAGCTTTGGCAGGAGGAGAGTGCCTTGCTGATGCAATTCAAAGAAGCCTTGAATAACATGGTGAAGAAAGATTGATGAAGTCAAAGTACTCTCTTTGAGTTGAGTGTACACATCCAAGTTAAAAACTTGCAATTTTGAAAATAATTTTCTTCACAATCCGGAGGAGGATCTCTTTTGAAACCCTACTGAGGCAGAGCCCTTAGACAGAGGAGCAACTCTTCTGTAATCTATTTTTATTCACAGTCAATGTAAGGTATATAATATTGAATAGTCTCAGAGAGGCCGCGTAATACTCTGTGAAATAAAGAAGGGCGCATTTTTCATGTTTTTTTCTTCTGTGATGCTCAACTATAGTTAAAATTCTTTGCTGGTGAATTCTCTACAGCACAATATAGATTTTGTATCAAGAGATGAACATGAGCAGTCAAGCTCTGACTCTAAGTATTTCTAAGCCTGTTAAAAAATGGTTTCCATATTCAATCATTAAAAAGAAAAAAGAAAAAGTAGCATCGGCTCCGTACGCGCCGCTCTTTTGTCTGTGCACGGGGAAAAAAAAACTGAACACGTTCAAACTGATGAGATCCTGACACATTAATATGGCATTGCTTGTCAGTACACCTATCTCAACCTTCAATCTGTTTCATATTGTTAGACTGATTTACTGAACACAAAATTTAAAAAAAAAATTTTTCTCAAACCCAGGCAGACGTGTCTTCGCTGTCAGCGTGTTTTGGCATTAAAAGTGATAAAGGTTAAAAAAAAGGAAAAGAAAAGTTAAAAATACTGGAGCCTTAAGGCACCATAATAGCAGAGAAGCCTGAAATCTAGGTAAAGTTTAAACTTTACTTCCACGGTGACGCTGTACCGTAAGTAGTGACTGCTTTTAAAGTTTTCAAAGTTACTGTGTGTGTTTTGATTTTGGCTCAGAGTTACCCCATCGAGTGAGGGGCTCTTGTCCTGTGTGAGTGCCAGCAGGTAGAGGGCAGAGCGGAGCACAGAGTGAGGCGGGACACAGCCCTGCTCCTGCACAGAGCGCAACAGCCACACAACATTGGAGAAGACTATCTGGTCAGGGAGGAGCCTGGATTACACACACACACACACAAACAAACACACACATATTAACGGCATTAATTGCAGTATTCAAAGTTCACATAAAGACAAAGTGCCCCCAGGGACACGCTGACGAAAGAAACTCGATATCTCTCAACACAAACGCACTAAAACATATGCAAAAGATCAACACACACATTCAGAGATCCTATCCCTGAGTATACAAACAACACGCACCCTCAGCCCTCCCACGCTATGTAAATCTCTGGCCACATCTCTCATAATCTTGATGAGACCGCGCAGTGGCAGGGAGAGGCTTTCATCGCCTTCCCAGGAGGTTAATGCATAGCTGAGGATTTGCAGAAAGAAAAATTAAACTTTCCAAGAAGCCGACACGCTGTTTTTCTCAGGTTATAAAAAATGCATTTGAGACCACCCTCGACGGGCCACGGCAGAGGAACAAGGAGAGAGCTGCAATGACGTGTGAAACCAGACAAATTTATATTCATACAAGTCTGATATATTCGATATAGCACGACTGCATTCATCATCTTGAGATTTTGGTTATGTAAACAGTAATATAGCTCAAATGTTGCCTTTTCTGCTCTCAAAGTATGAACTACAGCATAGCTAAACAAGGCTTTGAGAGTGCGAGATGTTTGGTCATATCCACATGAACCAAAATTTTCCAAAACTACTTTAATTGCAAAAATGTACAATTCTTTCCAAATAGTCAGAGAAATGTAATATTCAATAAGGTCCATGTCAATATACGATAGAGACAAATGTTTACTCTGCACAAGTGCTTAGATACATAAGAAAAATGATGCTGATGCTAAAATATGCATCGGTTATTTTTATTTCCACAAAATAAATAAATAAAATAACAGCTTATATCACAAGGTTGCCGGGCACTTAAATTGAACAAACTGTTTGTAATGTTCAACACTGAAGTACATAATAATTTATCCCAAGAGTGCTTGTATATATCTAAATATATCCCTGCTGCTTGTGTGCGTTATTACCTGTCTCCTTGCTGCAGGGCGAGGTACAGTATTATCACCAGGCAGTATTTCGGAGCCTGTGGTCCTTGATATTCACACAGCACAGAGGGCCACTCTGACAGGCGATAACACAAAGAGGGAAGGTTGTGCAGCAGTAGATTTTCAACCTCCTTCAGATCTGAGGGACAAGCAAGGTGATGAAACAGAAAGGAGAAATGCAATCAATGCTAGAAATGGGAAGAGGAGAAGGTTTGAGACAGAGAGCGAGAAAGCAACAAGAGAAGGTGGAGAGAATGAGAGGATATGAATGAAGGCGAGAGGTGGTGGAAATAAAACAGAACACAGCAGAAGAGGCCCTGAGGCCAATTTTCCAAACAGGTATTACTCACTAATTTTTTTTATTATTATTTTTATACAACTGAAGGCATGCCAAAGCTGATGTTTATGAAAAAACACTCCTTTACAGGCAAAAACGAGTGAGGCTTGACTGATATCCAAACAAATCCAACTATAACGCCAAAATTCATCATTAAGGAAACATGGAAAAGCTTTAATTAATGTCTTATAATATTATCTGAAAAAAGGTAACTGTAAGTAAGAAAATATACTGTTTACAAACCAGAGGAAAGTAAGAAGGGCTCCAGTTACCAATGCAGCCATCACCTCCGGGGAAAGAGTCAAAGAGTGAGGAGTGAAGAAGAATAGGGGGTTGTACTGAGTTTAAGAGGGAGGACTGGGACAGAGAGAAATACAGCAAAGGGTAGACAGATGAAGAAGATGAGAAAGGGGACAACAGATGGGAAAGAAAAAAGAAATAGACCCACACAGCAGGCAGCAGTGACACACTGCCTCCTGTTCAGGTCCTAAAGAACAGAAAAGTAATCCGAGACGAGAGGACAAGAGCCTTTTCTTAAACATTCACATGAGATTAGCAGATATCTTTAAAGCACAATCCCGATGACACGCTGTGATGTATCACAGGAGCAATCAGTAATATTAAATCTTAAAAGCACTAATGAGACTGTACACAAAGCAGGACATGACAGACAGGGGAAAAAATCTGCTAAAAACCTGAAAAACGGGAGTTTTTGAACAAGAAAAACATACACTGTAAAATGTGATTGGAAAATTTCAAGATGAGAGGGAAGAAAAATGAGGGAAAGCAAGAGGCTGAAAATGAAATGGAAGCTGATAAGGATGATAAAAGGGAGGAAGATGGTGACAGGCAGGAAAAGAAACAAACAGGACTCTCGCTCTGCCAAACTCATTATTCACCATCACACACACACACACACACGCTTACTTACTCGTACAACTCTTACATCTCATTACCTCAAAGAAATATTTTACTCCACTCTGGTGTCAGTGTCACACAGACACATCTGCGGGGGACAGCTGCAGTTACCAATGAGCTGCTTTCCTTTGCTCTTTATTTTAGTGGATGCTGCAGTGATGTGAGATAAGGAAGTGTATGGAGTTTGTGCATTTGCTTCCGTGTAATGGAATTAAAAGCAACCAGCACTTGGAACTGGAAATGTTACCTGTGCAGACCTATGTGTCATAGGTCATTTAGCTCTCTCACATAGGAAATACAATTCAAAGCCAGTTAACACAATCACCGTGTTTATAGTCCGCACACCTGGTTCCCTTCCTTTCATCCTTAACAGAAACCGGAGCTCTTGTTAGTCAACGTGCAAACACTTTCTTTGTTTTTTTCTTAAGCTTGCCTGTTGACTGTCAGACCCTCCTTAAGAACAGAGTTAACTTAACTCAAAAGAACAGGTGAGTCAGATGGAAATGAGACTCTCGCTCGAGTTTTTGATGTTTAAAGTCAACATAAAGACGAAAGAGAGAGAGCGTGAGCCTGAGTGGGCGAGGAAGCAGGCATGTGACAAAGAAAAACTAAAGCAAAACTGCAAAAGAACCTTATTTACTTTTTAAATCCAGCATAATTTTGTCAGTTCATGGCAGCGGTTCTGGGTAAAAAAAAATGTATAATGAAGGATTTGATGAAGAAGCACCTGCTGAATGTAACATGAAGTCAGTTTGATTTAGTTTGCCGAGTATGAACTATACCTACATGTATCACGTTAATACAGACAGGCGGTAAATATTTGATTAAGCTGTGAATGGGGAAAAAACAGTTGAAAACCTCAGCTACAGCTAAGACGTGCTTTGGTGACACACTGACCTAGCCTATTGGGATAAACTGCAATGACAGTTCAATATTTCTCAGAAAACTGGCAGCATGACATCACTGCTGAGAGCAAAAACAGGGTTTTTACCCTGACTGCATGTCTCCGTGTGTGGTGCAAACGTGCATGTATTTGCATACCGTGCTGGTGGGAGCCAGAAGGAAGGTCTGACTGGGAGAGAAGACACATACTGAGTTTTTGTAGAAAACCACAGCAAGATGCATTCAGATTTGGGTTCCTGAAAGAGGGAAAAGGCGCTTGAACACACACAAACAAACACACCGAAGGAAAAAAAGATTTTAAAAAAAGAGAGAATGAGGGCACCAGAGACAAACAGTGAACAATTACCGCTCAATGCGCGGTCAATACAGCTAAGAGCTAACTGTAAAACCGAGGACAGGATGTGCTTTGACAAACTTCTCTCAAAGATGAAATGCACAGTGTTTAGTTTCATTACAGCTCAGAGCACGGGGGGTGGGCTTGAGCCTATCAAGTAAACCACATATATGACCACACTAGTATACGAACACAAAAAAAGGCACACTCTAACACGAAGACCCACAAAAGCGCATATGCTTACATGTGAAAAACAAAGCACACACAATGCAAAAGCACACTGTGGACTTTGAAGTAGTAGATCCATCGCTTAGAGACAGACACACTGCTGAGAAGACTGGCTTATTGGAAAAAAAGTAGAGTGACTCAAAAATGACAGATGCCTCGGTCGCTGTTATCTGCCTCATTGCTAAATGTGCTTCGACAGAGAATGATAATAGCAGCTCGGCTCACAGAGCCACCGCGGCTGGATACACACAGTGTAGAGAAACACGCGTGCGCTGCTGCAGTTTTAATTGTCGTGTGTGTCTCTGTGTGTGTGTGTCCTCAGGTTATCCTCTTACAATGTACCTGTTTCCTGCACAGAGGAGGCCTTTGTGTTCCACAGCCAGTCTGTAGAAACCAGAGGACGCTGGAGGGAAGAAGAGGTGAAGAGCAGAATAAATAAACTACTACACAGTGAGAAATGAGGAAGAAGATGAGGATGATAGCAAAAACACTATTTATATAATGCAAACAATGAGGTACATCAAAGCCACTAACAAAAAATGTGACAGTTAGTGTAAACACACACAAAAAAAACCCTTCAGCCTAATTCTAAGGAAAACACCGACCCAAAGCTCAGTGTTGTAATGACGAGTTTAGCAATGAATTTCAATGACGAGAAAGAGGAAGAACAAGAGTAATAGAAGCTCTTTTTTATTTCTAGGCTGTCAAAAGTTTCTTCATCTCATCTCATGTGTCACATTTAAAGTCATGTCACCTTACTGCCATGTCCACCCTATCAGAGTAGTAGTATAGCTGATTAGGATCAACTAGGTGAGACTTACCAGTTGTTGTTGGTAATACATCTCAGATTCTACAGGCCTCTGTTACCATCTTAAATGTTACAGTTTATTACAGAACAATTAGAAAAAGACTGAACAAGTATGACTTGTTTGGAAAGGTTTTGCAAACGTTGATCTGAACAAAGTACAAGACTTCAGCTACAATGACAACACCTCATACCAACACTATCAAGCACAGTGGAAGGGTGATCATTTGGGTTTGTTTGTAACCACGGGATCATTGAGTCGACCATCAGCTTCTCTGTATACCAAATTAGTCTAGATTCAAAATCTGAAGTTCTCTGTCTGTTGGGCTGACATCCAAAGTTTGGCCAAAAGTGAGTCACACAACAGGACAATGATCCCACACACAGCAGAGTCTGCAGCAGAATGTCAAATCCAGACCTCAATCAGAGTGAAATCCTGCGGTTGGAAGGGCGCTGTGCATAAGCAAATGCCCACAAACCTGCATGAACTGAAGCAATGGTCTAAAGAAGAGTGAACCACACTGATGCGAGACACTGATAACGTCACAGAAAAACATTTCTTCAAGATATTGCTGCAAAATGTGGTTCTACAAGCTTCTGAATCACAGGGTGGTTTTTCACAGGACTGCAGGGAGTCCTGACAAAAAAAGGTTTCTTTTAGGTGTAATGTGTGACTGACAGGTTATAACTTGTCATTTTCCAACATGCAGGATTACTGTTTTAAAGCGACATTTTTTTCCCACTCGCACACAATTTTCTCTCAGCCCTGCCTCAGTAGTTTTCAGTGCCTAAATGTAACTAGTGACAGTGAGTAAAAATGAAGGGAATCAGTGAGTTAAAAAAGCAAAACAAAGTGAAAAACACATTCAGCTTTCTAACACAGATGCTGCAGGTCTCACACTAGCGAGCCACGGAGACCTCATGTTTAGACACAAGCTGGCTCTAAAAAAATGCATTTTATGAAACACCGGGATGAAAAAGTGCTGGTAAAACACAGGTGCCATCAGTTCATGATGCCCAAACCTTTGCATTTTTTTTTATCTTAAATTAGTGTCCAAGCAACACAAAATAACTTTTAAATTTAATTTAATGAATCACTGAAGACTTATGACAAATTTGCCTTCAGTAAAGGAAAAAAAGGCTATACTGTAAAGCTGTATTTAATATCTTGGCTGTTCCAGTGCTTCAGTGAGAGAAAGCACCTCAGACTTATTAGAGAGATGTTTTAATCCCATAAGGGAACTAAAATGCTTTCTTCTTTGTCCATGTGGACCTATGCCACATCTGCAGGAAACTGCTCTGCTTTGATAAGCGCTTCCAGGACAAATACCGAGCTTAGGTTTGTTTATAATGTCACCACATCGGCTTGTCTGGACGCCAGAGGCAACAAGTTCTCTGTCAATTACTGAGTCTCATCGTGCTGACAGCCAATTTTTAAGAGCCTGCATAGTTTTCCCACTACAGCGATATCAAATTTAATTAAGGCATTTAGCCTCACTTTTGATAAATGTAGAATAAAATGTTGATATTACTGTTTCTGGCATCAAACAGTGCAAAAACCCGATTTTCATTTTGTAAACGTTATCTAACCATATCAAAGGTTCAGTGGCTCGGCGGTGAACACAATATGTTGGTGGTGATGAAATAAAATGAGCTTAATTTCTTTTTATATGATTAGCTGGGAATAAAGCTTTGTGATGAAACTGCTTCTGTTTATTTCATTTAGTAAAACAATTTAAGACTTTAAACAACATTTAAGCAAAGCGTTTAATTGGCCAAGTTGGATTAAACGAACAGGCTTTTTTTTTGGAAATATATTTAGTTTGTATTTTGTATTCCTGTGAAGATTAGACACACGGAGACCTCGAGACTCGTGGTGATGTGGGCTGGCTGTATGTTTCTAGCAATACCACCCGTGATATCTGCAGAGCCAACGATAACAAGACTCAAAGGAGCGGCTAATTTAGAAACATGAGCTGTGAGGGCTCTACAAGCCGTTTCAGCTACTGATATCATGAATCTCACTACACTGTAAATGAGTTCTATCGGCCTCCAGACAAACAAATGTGGTATTTACATTGTGGTGTAGTTAGTGCTGCCATGGTGTGAAAATTAAGTGTGCTTTCCCATTGCACTGTAAAGCCATAAACTGTATGTAAAAGATGGCAGTAGCCTCTGTAACGCCAGCCATTTTTGAAGCATCAAGCTGACGGTGCTTTTTTGGAAATGATGTGGTAAGCAAAGGCTAAATCTTCTTCGTCGTACTTTTTGACTCTAATGCTGACCATTATCAGCACAAAATGAACACCACTATGTAGAGCTGGGCGATAGAACGATAACGATATGTATCGCGATATAACTTTTACTCGATAGAGAAATTAAGCTATCGCGATAGACCTCGCCGCTCTTGTCCTCTTAAAAAAAAAAAAAAAAAAAAAAAAAGGTCAGCCAATCCAAATTAAGTAGCGCAGAGCCGAACCAATCACAGCCGCAGCGTCACGTCGTGACTTGTTACGTACAGCACAAGTGCCAAGCCGCACGTGTGTTTGTTTGGGAAGCAGCCAGCGGGTAATGGAGGAAATGAGTGTGCCGACTAGAAAAATCAACCGAGCGTGACCGAAGAGAAAACAGATGATGGTTCCAACGCCGGAGAGATTGTCGAACGGAAGAGCCATAGAAGTTCCGTAGTGTGAAGGTATTTCGGCTATTTCAAGTCTGACAAAAAACAGAGTAGCGTGCACTGTAAATTGTGCCGAAAGCAAGTCTGGAAATACAATAAACTGGTGCATGCGTCACACTGTGCGCCACGTTATTGTTTCGGTGAAATGAATTTCTACAATACTGTTACTGTTAATTCTACTCTCTGCAGTGTTTAAATGCTTACATATACACACAGTTACTGTCCCTCCACACATACGACTCGGTTCTGCTTCTATGCCCCAGCTTTGTTTACTTTTTCCCACCGAGGCTTCTAGACTTCTGATTGGCCAACATTTCTGCACGGTTAGGAATCTAGCGCCACCTGCTGCTTTGGCATGTTCATAGCAGCGTTTTCCTTCATTTCTGCCTTTATGTGTGGACGGGATTATTTTTTAAAACGAAAACGGAAAATCTCCGTTTTCAAAAATACCCGTGTACGTGTGGACGTAGCCTCAGTCTCTGACTGGAAGCGCTAATTCGTCATTCGGCTGGGAAATAAATATTTAAATAAAAACAAGCTGCTGATTATTTCACATTTTACTTGTGAGCAACGGCACATTTAAATCTTACAAATATAGTTATTTGGCTTATATCGTGATAGATATCGTTATCGCCTGAAATGAAAAAAACATATCGTGATATGAAAAAATCTCATATCGCCCAGCTCTACCACTATGTATTAAAAACACTTTCCAACTAGAGCAGTCACCTCCTGCTGGTGATTAGAAAGAATGCAGGCATATCCAATATTCGCACTGGTCTCCCTTTTCAGATGTGGAAGCTTTTATATACACAGCAAGGTGAAGACATTCACATGAACTGCTCCACTGAACTTTGTGGTAAACCATTGCAGTTCCTGTTCATGTGTGTGTCAATCAAAAATCGTTTGTTTTATTGTCAAAATGTTTTGTTTACATTATCAGTTAACGTCTGTAAATTCACTTTGGCCAGGATCGAAGTGTTCATAAATCAACTGATTATCGCATTACCGGTATAATAAAGCTAAAATCTAAATGTGCAGGAAACCTGAAGTGAAAGTGATTCACCCTTTTCTGTGAACATTAAAAAAACCCACAAATCTAATATAAATTATATTATTGGCTATACTAGGAAATTTCCATTAAAGGAGCATTCTTTATAATCTTTATAATCCAGGAAAGTAGCACAAGTCTTTTGGTGATCTTACAGTAGCATACATAGTAAAATATTTTATTGTGTCCGTGTCAATGTATTTTTTAAATATACCAAAGTAACTTACACTTCTCTGCTAACATCTTTATAATTTGTGAATAATCTGTCCTATATACCATTTGTTATCTATACAATAAACCATTACAAGAACAACAGGTTAGGAATAATTCTTATAGATGCTGCAACACACAATCTTGCAGCCTAGACAACATGCAGTCATCTGTTGTTTCAGACAAACTGACACATTTGACACTAGACTACTTTGATATACACAAGAGTTCATTTTTGACTCAGTGTCTGCAATGTGATCAGGTCCTGTGGCTGCAAAACAAACCCAAATCATCACCCCTCCACCACCGTGCTTCACATTAAGTGTGAGGTGTTCGTGCTTTATGTTATTTTGGTTTTTTGTAGAGCCTGGGATGTGGCTCTTGGTTTCATTTGCAAGCTCTTGAGCGTTGCACAGTTTGACCTCGGGCGAAATTGCTCAGATATCCACTGCCGGAAAGATTGTGCCATTCATACTTGAATGTTCCAGACCAGCAAACTGGCAAAAGCTCTGCTTTTATATAGATACTTGGACTTGCTGTTGATCAGTTAATAAAGCTCAGTTGATTAGCATCAGCTGGTTGCTGCTTATAATTCAAATGGAAGCAGCTATGAGTGCACTTAGTATTTCAAAGTACTGCATAGACTCCTGTGAAAACATTCTTATTCAAGACTAAGATTTACCACAGACAAAAAAAGAATGATACGGTGCATCATTCTATCATATCATTTCTTATCATGAAACACCTACTGCTGTTTTGAGTTTATTCAGAACTCACCGAGCTTATTTGCAAAGGCAGGCATGAGAGATGGAAGCAGGGTGAACTGGGAAGATAGGATAGAGTAGAAGTTCTGCAGTATGGGGGCACTGGGTGCATGCTCACACATCCTCTACACACATAGGAATTTACAGACAAAAACAAACCACAAACTGTAAACAATTTTTTCCCGTGTGATTGATTTTTTTAGCCTAAAGAGACCCAACGAAATATAACATAAAAACAATTACCAACACTACAGCAGAGGCACTGATCAATAGGCACGCGTGTCCATGTGTACGCAAAGCTAATGTAGACAGAGGCTGTGTGGCTGTGCTTATTAATATAGTCATTTAGAGGAGCCGCGAGACGGTGCATTATAATCAGCATGACCTATTTCTCAGAAAACAGCAGCCGGCAATTGATCATTTCCTCAAGTGTTTGGTTACGACTATGAAAGAGAGACACGGGGTTAAGATGAGAAGATGATTAATGTAAACCTGGGTGTACGTGTGTGTGTGATGGTTTTCAGCTCTCACTATAACAGTGGGTATCCAGACAGCGTCACAGCAGCGGAGCAGGCATTGACACAGAGACTCTAGAGAGTCCTGAGCACCGCTGTGCTTGTATGGAGCTGTAAATGTGTTCTCCTTCAAAACAGGGTCTGATGCACACTCCTCAGCCAGCCTTGAACAGATATCAAACACACACAATAACCTGCCTATAAAAAATACAGAGACAGATGCAAAAAATATATCTGTAAACACTCATACCAAGGATTTCATTAAGCTCTTCCATCTGCAGTTTAACAGAAAAGATGTAATTCAGTTACTTCTACGATAGTTATTGATTCAGTCCTATTTTCATCTTCTTCATTTTCACCTTTTTTCATCCATATGAGAAAATCTGACAGACATACTGTAAGAAACTCATAAAACTTTGTAAATGCGTTTATTCAGTGATGCCACTGACTTAACAACGTTCTGACCTGCAGGCAGAGTGAAAACAGACCAGGGCCTGGAGCAGAAATCTTTCAGACCTCAAAGCCTGGCTGCTGGGATCTGACCTCTTCATTCTCCCCTGAAAATTAACAGAGCGAGATGTTAAAAAGGGAGTGCAGAAAAGAGAGAAGAAATGATGCAAAAGTCAGGAAATCACATCAAACAGAAAACCATCATCCTTTACAAGTACTATCTAAAATAATGGAACCTCTTCGTAAAAACAGACTGAAAGAGACCCCTCTGTTATACAAGAATCACCCACTCACGTGTATATCTCTGGTTATTACTTTAATGTTTCAGCTTGAATATAAATGCATGCAAACTTGTTGATAGTCACATTAAATACCATTGTTGCAACACTGTTCATTTTTAGCCAGGAATCAGGACTCTTTAAAAAACAGCAGTGACAGACAAAAAAAAACGGCATCAAAGAGAGCTGTGTGTCAGTGTAACTTTTGAACGCACTGATAACCACAGTGGGTGGTGGGGTGGTGGTGACCACTCACTGTAAAACCTGGCACAGATTGACAGACGAGACAGATCTCGTATTTTTCCATTTGCAGATAAAACAAAATCTCACAGAGCTTCGCAGATGAGCGGGGGAGGGCAGCGTTAGGTTGACAAATCTGTTGGTGATGGCCTCTATCAACTTGATTATTGCCTCGTACTGGACTGGTCTGGACTGGTGGTCGAGTCTGAAGAATGCAAACACAAAAGTAAACACTTGATATTATCAGGGGTGGAGTAGGTGGATGGTGCAGGGAAGAACAAACAAGCGTTGCAGAAGGGCATGGTGTGGATATCAAGTAGTTCTGTATGTACACCCATGTGTGACCTACACAGAAGTTAAAACAGCTCAAACGATCAATTAAGTGTGTATGTATGTTTTTACTTTTTTGTGTCATGCTGTGTTGTTGTACATGTCTGCTACTAATGTGTTTAGTGTGTGCATAAAGGTCTTAGGCAATGTATCTGTCTGTTTTGTCACTTTATCACTAATAGGTCAGAAAAAATTATACAGAGAATTTGCTTTAAAAGACTCTAAAAGGTTGCCTGTTTCCTCAGGATGTAGTTGCACAACCGCCCTTTGGCAAGAAGTAACTCTTTTACATATTTGCAGCATACATGTTTGTGTATACCTGAACAAAGCAGAAGTAACGCTGGCTGCCTGTGTGGCTACCAGCAGGCAGGAAGAGGAGACTCCACCAACCAGGACCTCTGAAACTGCCACAAACCCTGCGCCACTGGGGAACAGACGCACACTTGCAGGTTGTCTGCACATGCACACAAACAGACATGTAAAGCATTACCAGGAAACCTAATAGGTTTTGCTTGTTAAAGCAAAGAATGAAAAAGGAAGACATTTAAAAATGACACATCACAGTGGATCTGAAAGCTGCAGAGAACTGTGCTAAAAGAAATCAGGAATTTTTCACTGATAGGAAATTTTTGACATGAAAGTCAATAAGAAACCATGAAAAAGCTGACCATCTACTTTTTCTTTTTGCCTGACCTTATCTATAATTCTTTGTCCTGCTGTGCCAATAGCAGCAGTGACTGTTTGCTGAGTCCCTGCCTCACTCACACACACACAAACTCTCTTTAAGGGCAGGCACACACAATAAACAAATAGTGCTGACCTATCGGCCTTAGAAAGATCACCAGAGTACATCTCCAAGCTGCAGCATCACAGCTGTGCACTGGCTCACTGTTGCCGCAACATTAGTTACACAGAACATCCTAAATAACACATGCATGCACACTGAAGTGTACACAAACACACAAATTGTCGTGCCACCCCTGCGTCATTTAAGCGAGGTAGCTGCGTGCAGGAGGCAGCACACTCACTTACACTTAGCTGTGAATGCACCGAGACAGCAGGCACTATATTCAAATCTAATTAAACTTCCTAACTGTGCTATTAGTTACATTATGTGCACAATGGCACAATCTGTAATCAAACTAACTTTGTATTGGGGGCTAGAGGGTTGAAAGCAGACTTGTACCTCAGCTGGTTGCTGTCTGGAAAAGTTCAAGCCTGCAGAGCATGTGTGATAATGGTTCTTGTTAGAGCACAGTATTGATTTTTATTCGCTGTGGATGATCCAACCCGAACCCCGACCTTAATAATAACTGAGTCATGTCGGGTGATTCTATATAAAAATATAGCTTTTATAGCTTTACCATTACAATTCAATGCTTTACTCAAAGCCTTACCCGTAACATTAACCTAAATCTAGTCTAAAAAAAAAAAGGTGCTTACTAGAATGTCCTCAACCTCCTAAAATTTTGGGTCTTAAACTCAAACTGTTTTTCATAAAGATAGATACACAAGTATACACCCAGACAACACACACAGACACACAGGTGCACACACACACTTTAGCTTGTTCAGCACTTTAAGAGCACCGGCCGTGCTACTTTTTACACTTCTACTCAGCGTAATGGACAAATTTCCCCCTAAGATTATAAAATCTCTTATCCTCTGTATCTCTGCCATGTGACAGGGGAAACGTTCCATTAAAATTATGTCAACCTTGCAGAAACAAGACTCCTGTTTTTACTGGCTTGAGATATATTTTCATCTCCAAGACAGCAGACAGTTAATTCACATCTAATTAAAGTTGCCAGTCCACCGTATTTGACATGTTTTACAGGAGGTAGCTTCTCCTTGTTGGAGCAGATGGAGCTGCGCGCGATGTTCAGTAAACGAGCAAATGTGTGGTGGAGTAAAATCTTCAGCATAATTGGCTGTGGGGTTTTGGTGAAATGACATACACTATGTAAACTTTACAACCACAACTTACCGCAAACAGACAGATGTGCTGATGGTTTTATAATAATGGAATAACTTTTAAAAACGTTACAAAATACACGCATAGCCACAAGAAACATTTTACAAACGTATATAAATATTGGGTATTGAATCAGTGGTTTAACAAACATTTGAACACTATATTGCCAAAAGTATTTGCTCGTCTTCCTTCACAAACATGTGATGCAGTCCTATCATTTGCAGCTATAACAGCTTCAACTCTTCTAGGAAGTCTTTTCAACGTTTATGGAAATTTTTGATTATTCTTTAATTGCATTTGTGAGATTAAACAATGATGTTGGACGAGAAGCCCTGGCTCAGCTCTACTTAATCACAAAGGTGTTACATCAGGTTGAGATCAAGACTCTGTGCATGACAGTCAAGTACTTCCACACTAAACACGCTCATGTCTTAGTAGACCTTGCTTTTTACACTGGTGCACAGTCAGGTTGGAACAGGAAGGGGCCATCCCCAAACTGCTCCCACAAAGTTGGGAGTATGAGGCTGTCCAAAATGTCCTGGTATGTTGAAGCATTAAGAGTTCCTTTCAATGGTACTAAGGCACCGAGCCAAACTCCTGAAAAACAACCCCACACCATAATTCCCCCTCCACCAAACTTTACACTTGGCACAATGCAGTCAGATAAGTACCGTTCTCCTAACAAACCTGGTCTTGTCCATCGGATTACCAAATGGAGAAGTGCACTTCATCACTCCTTAGAACACATCTCCAGTGCTCTAGAGTCCAGTGCGTGCTTTATACCACTGCATCTGACCTTAAGCATTGCGCTGCTCAGCCATGGAAAGCCGTTCTATGAAGCTCTCTCTCTGTTCTTGAGCTAATCTGAAGGCCAAGGCAAGTTTGGAGGTCTCCTGCAAATGACCTGACCCCACTCTGTGATTTTAAATGTCCTGTCACTTCCGAGCTGTGCTGCTGTCAATCCCAATTGCTTCCCCCTTGTTATAATACCACTAACAGCTGACTGTGGATTATTTAGTAACAAGGAAGTTTCATGACTGGGCTATCATGATTTTGATTTTATACACATGAAAGTGATTGGAACACCTGAATTCAATGATTTGGATGGGTGAGTGAATACTTTTGGCAATATAGTATGTTAATATCATTTGGCTAATCACCAGAGTATTTTCTGAGGGAGCCATATTGTAAACTGTTTCTCCAGTATAATAACATTTTAAATATTAATCTATTTACTTTGGGATCCCAGTGATTATCATGTCTTCTTCAGTTGCTCCCTTATTTGCCAGGGGTTGTCGTAGCAGATGGATCTGCATATTTGATTTGCCACAGATTTGTCATGCCAATGCCCCATTTGAGGCATGCCTCCCAGAGATTTGTTTGCCCTCCTGGTGACCTTTTTATTTTGTTTTGTTAGAGAAAAGTGTTAACTACTACACTATAGAGCTAGTCAATAAATAGAGTAACTGAAGAAAATAAATATCCATCTCACCTCTCCAGTATTTCTCTGAGGAGCAGCAACCCTTGTTTTGGCACTTCCAGGTTGGTCAGCTGCAAAGACTCCTTCAGACTGCGCACCAAGGACTCCATACCTAGCTTGCAACACAAGCATGCTCACTGCTTCAAAGAAATACTCGAACTCTCAAATGAGCAGACACAAAAACAACAACAAAAAAACACTCTCTAACCTTGCTCGGTGCCAAAGTTCTTAAGAGTTGTTGAGAGACTACAGCCTACAGCAAGTTCGCATATTAAAATGAGTGACATGCTCATAAATGTATCACAAAGGATGCACACACAACAGCACTCGCAGCCTTGCATGTTAAACAAACAGAGACAGCGGTACATCTTTCTAATTTACTGCTACACGGAGTCTGCTGCTGTGTTCATACTGACCTAGAGCAAGAACCTAACAGCAACAAGGAGTGGTTAGAGCAGATATCCTGTGTACTGGTAAATTAAGTCTGCATAGCAAGTGTTTCTCAAACTATTTCTCTGGGGTGGTGCTGAAGTGCTGCAATTACTGTGGGGCCTCACATGCATAATCCATTGTAATGGCTCACATCAAAGGCATACAAACACACACACACAGAGTGACACATACACATGCATGTGTCTGAACAATGTTAAGAAATGCAATATTGTGACATTTTTTACCCAATCAGCAATTACTGCTCGCTTCTATAACCATCTTCCTAATATTTGGCCATTTTTCCTGATTCTTGTTATATTACAAAAGCACCAGCTGTCTAGATGAAATAACCCAGAATAGAGTAGCAAATTCTATTGGTCTAAATTCAATTTTAATGCGACTGGGAGCAGATGGAGCAGATGCAGATGTCGAGAAACTTCCACTTTGGAGGGTTTATTAAAATTTCCAGTCGCTGTCAGAAAAATTACAGAGTGCAGCGTCATTCCATCTAAGCTGTCAAGGACCTGTCTTTCCATCAATTATCCAGCAGCAGCTATTTTCAGATATGTTAACCGATATACAACGAAACCCAGGGCTGAAGACAAAAAACAGAGATGGCATCGTCGTAATTCACTCAGGAATGGTTTCTGATCTGCTGTTTCGGCTCTCTCGCCCATAGATTTAAAAGATGGATGTCCAGACAGCTGCACAAAAGTGAAGCCAAAACATTTGAGAAACAAACGCTTCCATCTTACCTTGTTTATGCCATTCGCAACCGGAGCCTCTGCAGTAGTGACATATTTTGTCTTTGCATTCACACAGAGAGATAAAGTGGTCGTGCTCCTACAGCCTGTGTTCTCACCGTAAACAGAGTGACACTGGGAGAAAAAGAGGGGCTCCTCAGTTAGTAGCAGCAAGCAGCTGTAGGCAGACCACAGCAGCACCTCGTTGCTACTACAGGCCAGACGGTCAAACAGAAACTCTTTAAAAACCGTGACAAAAAGACAACTTTAAAACTTTGTTTTGTTCTTTTAAACAAAGTTGAAAGAAAAACAGAGGACAGGGAAGAATTACTACAACACTCTTCTGAAAGTAGGGCAATGTTTTCTTGCACATTAAAGAGGACCTGTTATGTTCATTCCCAGCTCCATATTTTTATTCTTGGATCCTACTAGAGAAGCTTCACATGATTCAAAGTTCAAAATAATATTTATTTAGATTATTTCATCGGGTCTTTTTGTAGCCCATTAGCACATCTTCTGTCTGAAACAAGTTGGTTTTACTTCCCTCTTTCTTCTGATTGGCTCGCCCTTGAACAATAAAAGGTCTGAGCAGCAGGCGGGTGGGGCTGCAGACATTATACAGATTGTAACAGTACATATACAGGTATGTAACTAGGAAAAATATAACAGGGCCATGTAAAACAGTACGGCAAAAATTATGACAATGTTAGCCAAAGCCTCATCAAAAGTAATGACAATAATAATCGCAGGCAAACAGCATAAGAAATACAAAGTGGCAGATAACATAATAACAGGGGTCTGGACAAAGAGAAGGATCCAAAGGGAACACAGAGGAAATCATTAATAGAACAATTCAAAGAAGGCATTAACTCATCGCAGCGACTGTGTTTGTGTGCCTGTGTGTGCGTGTTACCAGGTACGTCAGCGTTGATGAAGGGAGCACTGTACTGACTGGGGGAATGAACCAGAACAGATGCAATACACTTTGCACTGGTCACCTGCAAGTTCTCATCGCCACTCAGAAGCAACTGAAAGACACAATTTATGTTTTTTTTTAAAATCCTTGACTTAAATAAAGATGCGTGTTAATCAAACAGTGTGCAAGACTTCCATAGTACTACAGTGTTTACACTATAAATGTTTCTTCGATTCTAACGGCTCATGATAGACTGAAGCAACAACTGGCTCCCATCTTCCATGCACTGTGTGGCATTGCAGTTTAGTGTGTTAGTTACCTCTGCCAAGAAGGTTAATCTTGGCAGCATTTGTGTGTGTGTGTGTGTGTGTGTGCATGTTTATTCTCTGAGTCTGTAAAGCTCAAAAAGTTTTGAATGAATTCTATTAAAAGTTTCTAGGGGTGTCGAGTGGGGTCATGTTAACAATCCATTCAAATTTGGCTTACATCCACCCAGGTTTTCAAGGTAAACTTAATGATTTATTGGCCGCAAACTGACAAACAGCCTTAAAATTTTATCAACATACAGAAAACACCATTTAAAGTTTTAAAGTATCGTGTCACGTTTAACCTTTGACCTCTCCTTCAAGGCCAAGAGACTGATCTGAAGTTCAAAGAGATAACAATGCTATACAGATTTATTTATGTTTCTTGGTGCCATTGTTGATATACAGGGAAGTATATTTTGGTATTCTAAATATTACGTTTGTTTGACCTCTGACCTCTTTTTTAAGGTCAAACTTTCAGAAATTCTCTTTTCTCTTTAAAACTCTGCTTAAAATTATGCTGCCTGTTTGCATTGGCACCAATCAGGCAATGATATTGGTGTACAGTTTGTATCTAAATATCATGTCACCTTTGACCCTCGTTTCATTCAAGTTGACCCTAGAATATGTTAAATACTGCCAAGAGAAAGAGAACAAGCTGCCTAGTTAGCTAGAAATATACTGTAGTATAATCTTATATAATAAGCTCAAATTATTCATGTTCATTTATTTACAAATCAGTACTTATCATCCATTACCTACTCCTACATAATGTTTGTGTAATCAAAGTAAACATCTGTCATGCTACCTTTATCTGATTCTTACTGCACTAAAAACTTCATAAAGTAGATTTAAAAAGAACAAAGAAAAAAATGAATAAATAAATAATATAATACTATTCCCCTAAAAGTAAAGTGCCTTGGCGGAGTGCTTCTTGTTTTCGTTTGAATATGTTAAAGTCTGGAGCTACAACATATTGACTCGTGTACCGAGGGGGGATTTATACGTTTGTAAATTCCACACAGAAATGGATTAGGTGCAGATTATATACGGCTGAGGGTGTAGTCGTTTCACCGACAACCAATCCCAAAACAGTGCTGGTCTGACGTCACAGCGTTGATTATTTAGTTAAGAGTTTCATTTAGAAGCAACACATTAGAGAACAGAGCCCTCCATAAAACCTCCCAACGTCATGAGCTGTTCTGTAATGTGAGTCATCACTGAGAAAATCTAACGAGATGTAAACTACACAATGATTTCCCAGACATGAACCACAAATATTTGTCCAGGGTAAAACCCCACTGAATCCCTATTCAAAGGCACAATAATCCAGGATTAGAACTTCTTGTTATGATTATCGTCAGAGCCAGAATGCAGGTCTTGGGGATGAGAGCAGGATGTTTGGACAGAGACCTTTTTCAGTATGAGAGGCAGAAGGCAGTGGTCAGGGGGCTGTTGGTCTTGGTTTTGGCTGAGGCTCTGGCTGTTGTTGGCGAGGATGTCCTCGTTCTCATCGCACATGACCTGACAGCTCAGGCTGTTCATCAGAACTGACACAGCATCAGCCAGATGCACAAGCTGTGACAGCAGGCCTAACAGATGAAAGACAAGCTGTTACAGATACTAATGACACAGATCAGAAGTTTTAAACACGATGCAAAGTTTATACAAAGGCCTAAACATGGCTGAGATCTACACATGCATGTGCTGATAAATACATTCATGTTTTGTCTGGTTTCTTTTTAAATTTAGAATAAAAGGTCCACAAATATTACCTACAGCGTCAGTGTCACCACTGAAAATCGCCACCATAAATTTGATAATAAACTGGGCTATTTCAAATATCACAGAGGGAAGTTTTATATTAGATAATCATTTATAAATATTAAACACCTTCTATAATAATAAAAGTCTCACGGTGAGGGATTTCTTCAGACTCAGCACCGATTTGTAATCATAAAAATACAAAAATGCAACTTCCCAAAGTGCAACATTATTAAAATACAATAATCTTACTTATATATTGTAGCCATTTCCAAATGCTAAATAAAATTAATAATACCTCCTGCTTCTTCCATCATGTTGCGGCTATCGTAGGTAAGCTTGCTGGTATTAAACTAATAACAACAGTTCAGCCATGTTTACTTTGCAATTGCAAACCAACCTCTATTTCAAACCTGCTGTGCAACACATTTTTCTCCCAAGTTATTACAGTGGCATACATTCCAACTTTAAATTTCTGGGAGATAATGACTCTGTCTTATTTTTCGTAAATGTCTGTACCTAATGTAGATCTCAGTTCTGGTTATCACCAAAGCGCACACTGCAAGCTTATTGTCCTTATAAGTCAAAGCTCCTCCAGATAGCAGGACTCTTTCATCTCCACATAATCCTCCCTCTTTCTCCATATAGCTTCGCTCTTAAGGAGATTTGGGGGATTTAGGGAAGAAAACAACTCCTTTTTGTTATTATTAAGCCGTACAAAATAAGGGAAATTTCTTAAATTACATTTTTTTTTTCAGTTCGAAAGGCAGACGTCAAATGACCACATTGCCATTCAAATAAGTCCTCGGCTGTCTTCTCTCAGCCAGCAGGGAGTGAAATTTTGTTTCATACATTGCTACAAATTCACCACCTCTCTTTTAATCTCACCAAGATCCTTGTTTTTAAGGCCTGAATAACAAAAATCTACATGATCAGACTTTTAGATGGTAGAAAACCAATTTCACTCTAGTTAGGTATCAGTTTAATTTGCACTTCAAAAACGCAAATATATGCAATTTTTCATTTAAGCAGCTACTGATGTAGTCAATTATACTTTTAAAAATCTGAAACTGAATGCCTTGAGATTACTTTATGATAATCAATTCTCATTTTCCCAACATGCTGTATCAAATTACATCGACATTACTTTATCCATCTTGTAAAACATACTATGTTATAAAAGGATTTGTTTAAAAAAAATCACCCCCAAAAAATAAAACTCATAAAATGTATTCAACCAAAATATTTTTCTCACCGACACAATATCTGAGGAGCTGCGGGGAGCTGGCATTGGCTAATGTTTTCAGCAACACATTACACACTCTGTCCCTAACAGCAGAAGGCAAGGACTGGGCTGCTGAGCCCCCAGGAGCTCCAAGCAGTTGGAGCCACACATACACCACTGCACCCTTCAGTGCTTCGTCTGGGAAAAGCAGCGCTGAGCACAGGCGGTCTAACAGGGGCACTGGTGGAGAGAAATGGAAACAGGTAAGTACTTAGAGCACAAGTAAGACACAGGCATAATCATGTGGTATAGTTGTTAAGTGTCTGTATGTTGTTGTGAAGCAGCTGCTTTATTAGGTACACCTGTTTAATTGCTTGTTAACACCATTATCTAATCAGAGAGCAGAAACTCAATGCATTTAGAATAACAAGAAAGCTTTCAGCTGATAGGAAGACAACAGGAACTCAAGCCAAGGTATGCAGAAAATCATCTTTGAATTCACAACATGTTGAACCTTGAAGCAGATGGGTTACAGCAGCAGAAGACCACACCGGGTGCCACTCCTGTCAGCTAAGACCAAGAAACTGAGCTTAAAATTTACAGTGACTCACCAAAACTGGACAACAGAAAATTGGGCGAATATTGGCTGCAACATTTACATGTTGGGTCAGAATTTGGCATAAACAACATAAAATCATGTTGTTTACCTTCTCTCATGGGCTCAGGCAGGCAGTGGTGGATGGTATGGAGGATATAATTTCTTGGCACACTTTAGGCCTTTAAGTACTAAGTGAGTCTCATTTAAACACCACAGCCTCCCTGAGTATTGTTGCTGTATTGTCTATTCATTTATGACCTTCATGTAACATCTTCTAATGGCTGCTTTGAGCAGGATTAGACGATATCTCATAAAGAGGTACAGATCATCTCAAACCGGTTTCTTGAACATGAGAATGAGATCACTGTATTCAAATGGCCCCACAGTCACCAGATCTTAATCCAATGGAGCACCTTTGGGATGTGGTGGAACAGGCGATTAACATCACAGATGTGGACCAACAAATCCACAGAAGCTGTGTGATGCTATCACGTCAGTATGGACCAAATCTCTGAGTTGTGTTTCAAGGACATTGTTGAATCTATGAAGATTTAAGGAAGTTTTGGAAGCAAAAGGGGGTCCAAGTACTATCGAGGTGTACCTAATAAAGCTGCTGATAAGTGCATAAATAGACGTATAATTGCAACATCATGTGACGTTTCAAGATATTGTACATTTCAATTACCCAGAAAGAAGTCTGCGAGTATGTACAGAAATGCAGGAAAATAAGAGAAACCCAGAGGTGAAGTAATTGTATTACTGTGAGAGAAGCTCAACAGACACCACAAAAGGACAGTGAGATTACAAAATGGAAAAAGTGCAAACTGCTGGGAACAAGGTGGAGAGTTTCAACTCTAGCTATGACAGACAACGGTGAACCCAGCGTCGGAGGGAAAATTGCCTTGAAGATGAAAGGGTTGAAGATTGGCAATTGCGAGAGAGAGCAGAGTTAAACGGCAGATGAGAGTGTGAGCAGACTAGATTAAAAAACTATGTAGGCGTAGATTGGAGCATAAAAATATAAAAACACGAGTACTTTTATAATTATTTTCACAAAATAATTTGAACCCTAACATTAGTTTGTTGCTAGGAGAACTTAATTATTCATGATTTTCTCCTTTATATATCAATGTAAATAAAAGGGCAAAAAATTAAGAATTTAGTGTGAACACACCAGTATACGCGATGGCAGCTGAGACACAGGCAGGAGACAGAAGTGGCTAAAGAGAGGTGAAAGAGTCAAATATGTCTAAAACAGCAACAATGAGAATAGTTGCACAGCGGATAAGAGCACAAAGCAACACGGGACTCAGCGAGTGTCGAACATGGAGAGAAAGAGACAGAGATGACAGAGCAGGAGAGCCAAATCCAAGCCAGCTGCTCTCTGGAGCAGATCAAAACCCATGTGAAGCAGAAGAAGCTCCCAGACATGTTTGATTAAACCGAAATATATGAGGCGGCCAAGATGACAGCAAAGCATAAAGAGAGAAGCGGTGGGGGTGAGGGAGAAGAAGGGAAAAGAGGTAGAGGGGGTGGTAACTCCTCCACAGACAGAGGATAAAAAAAATGTAGGGAACAAAATATGAGCTGCAAAAGAACAGATGAGAAATAAAGCGACGTGCTGCTGTTTAATGCCACTCAATGAGAAAGAAACAAACACAGGGGGAGGCACGGCAAACAGACAAAAAGGTCGTCTTGTGCTTTCCTTAAAGAAAAGAGCAAAAGTTCATTTCTGTTTACCTTGCTTAGTGTTTGGCTGCCCTACTCTGATGCTTTGAACTACCTCTCTGTTCAGCTTCTGATCCGCTTTCTACAGTATTTAACCATCGCTTTGCACTTGTTGCTTCACCCTGCTTCCTCTTTCTTGGTCTATTAAAAAACATTTTAGTTTCTCTATATTTTTGTAAGCACTTTCTAAAAAAAATGTCTTGTGAAAAGTCTCAGCATAAAAAAGTGCTTGCAAAAAAACAAAAACAAAGCGGAAATGCTGAATGCTGAGATGATACAAAGCTTAACTGTTTAATTTTAGATGGCTGATATTTTTACATATCAGCTTGTGAGAAACATTTTTAACTTGCACTATTGTCCTTTCCTTCTTTCATCCCTCTTGTTATCTCTTTTTGCCTTCCATTTTTCTTATCTGTTCCATCTTCCCTGTTTTGTCTGTATCCACTCCTCAATCAGTATCAGCAATACAGAAATCGAAGAGAAAATTCTGGAAGAGAAAAGTCAACGAGTGAGGACAAAAAGAGGGGTTAATCAGTCAGAAAGACAGGCAGCCAGTGAGTCAGAGGCAGAGGGAAATCTCCTGGGTGCTCTGGGCTTGTGTTGTCATTGCCTTGCTGTTGTCGTTAGTCCAAACAGCCCCACAGAGACTTGCTGAGTGACAGGCCACAGACAGGCACACACAGTCAATAGTGGCAGCCCACATCTTGCATCAACATTGTAACAACTCACCACTACCTGCAGCTGCTGGAGGGAGCTTGGAAAACTCATGAAAATACATGAGAGGTGGACACACATAGCATAATAAAATAACTACGGTGGCTGTCTTTTTGGCATAAGGACCACATTCGCGCTCGATCGTAAAGACGAGCAGTCAGGCGTGACACAAACACAGCACAATGCACACACGAACACGAAGCTGATTGACAAAGCCTAATAAGCACTGTGGAAAAATGATTCGAGGAGTACAAAGATATCATACAGGTGGTTGTAAAAGAGATTAAATCAACAACTGTGCGTTGGGGGAGGAGTATCTTTTCAGCTCGCTATACTACAGCTTTGTACCTAGATAAATACATTCATATAGACGGGGAGATTCAGGGAAAAGGTTCGGATGAACATTTGCAGTATTTGTAGCTTTTGCTATTTTACTTTCAGCAGGTGCTGGTATGGGATTGGCTATGCAGATGGAATTTTAAGGTTGGTTATCTCGGTGCAGCTGGAGAGCAATTGAAAAGGTCATAACAGCTAGAGAGATTGAATTGAGAGAGTTCAGGGGAAAGGATATGGAAGATAGACTTGTGTGATTTTTTCTAATTTCTTAGAGGCAGAGGAGGTGGAATAGGGCACAGCATGAGAAAGCTGGTTTCAAAAGTAGACATAGTACAGCTATTTCCATCAGCCAATTTTCTTATCCAACTAGGGGACTCAGGAGGCTGTAGCCTGTCTGAGCTGGTATAGAACGTCCTGGACATGTCGCCAATACATGCAGACAATGCTTTCCATGCATCTTGGATACAGTTTAAGAAGATCAATATAGGCTACGGTGACTGAAATGTAGATATGTCTCTCTAAGACAAAAGAGATCAGGAAAATTATGTATTCCTTTATATCTTCCTCTTCCACTTCAGGTGAACTCTACATTTCGAACACATTCTTGGATCTTAGCCCCTGAAAATAATACATTTTTAATTCAGTTTCTGCCTCTCCAGTGCCACAGTGAAGAGTGAAACAGAGACTGCACAGTAAGCTACCTGAAACCTGACCGATCCTGTCTCAACTGCATTTTTAAAAACTGACCTGAATCAACGCACGTCATCAATTTCTTGCAGATACTCTATACATTCCCCGTAAGGCAAATGAATGTCTTTGCTATACAAAGGGGTCAGTGGCTGTGGCCTGCTACACAGCAGTATGTTTACAGTTTAAAAAGTATTTAGCGCCGGATTATAAATCTCAATGAGAAGAATTCATGAAGCATGAACTTTGTAAATAAGTCCATGCATCACCTTTCCACCCGTATCCAGTGCTGGTAAAAACAAAGGGGAAAAATTATGCGTTGCTTACAACATTTCCAAGAACTGTTTATCACTTGACGAGATAAAGTTCACGCTCGTGTTGAGAGACGAGCTTACTGATGTACCTTTCTTGATAATGGACTGTAAAGAAAATATAAACAAGGATGAAAACAGACTACTACTACTAGGGGCTACGTGTCCCTGTATTACTCTGAGGTCTCACTGAGTGTCATTTCCAGGGTCTCACCATAATGAGTCACAAGGCTCTGGGACACAGTAGGGGCAGCTTTTATTAGGTTACCCAAGAAGCTGAATGTAGGCAGGAAATGCTTCACACTGAGCTGCTCAGTAAGCTAGAAAAAGAACACAGAAAAAAATCATGAGTACTTACACACACACACACACACACAGTAATATGAAGGAAATCTTAATGCATTAGATCATAAAGCTCTACAACATCGGTTTGCACAGGTGTCTTAAAGCTAAACGTCTATTTTAATGGTAGGTTAAAAAAAATCTTCAAAATGACCAAAATATATTTTAAAACTACTACAACAACCTAAATATCCTACTACATATATGTTATTAACCGCTTAAGTTTTTTATTTCCACTCGATAAAAAATCTCTGAAATTATTCAGCGAGAGCTCCACAACAGTAAGGCCAAGCACACACGACCATGGGCTCAGAGGATTAGAGACACTCGAGAGATTTTTGCCTCCTTGTCCCCCATCACCAGCTTTGAGTGAGGTAGGAAACACTCTATCAAAAGCTGACATTTTTATTTCCACCAAATACCAACTGCAAATTGGAGAATTAATAATGGGTAAGTAAACACTGTTGTTAATGATCCTGTCAAAAAAAATCCTACAACTGCAACTCTACCAAATCTGGTGCAAGAAAAATGAAGCATAATAACGCTAGGCCACTTCCATACATAGTGATACACAGAAGAAGGGTTAACCTGAGCCAAGTGCTTGCGTGTTTAAACTGAAAAAAATAATAATTTCTTCCACTAACAGTTTGTGTCAAAACTTCTAATCAAGCTCTGTTCTTGTAGCATAAATGAGACTTGTCTGCTGTGGCTGGTGTTATATTTTTCTGTCATCATCAGTATACACAGCTATACTGTTTTCCACCTGCAGCAGGATGAGCCTTCTCCATTACTGTCTCCCCCTGAGGTGACACAACAGCAGCAAGAGGGAGACAAGCACACTGTCTGTTTACTAAACAGCCTTGGGAGAGTATGACGCTAGTTACACAAGCGCTATTAAAATTTTTAAGATGTTGGGCATGTTCTTCTGCCTGCACGTGCACATGAGTAGGAGCGTTTCTCTATTTGTCTTACCTGTTTGTGTATCTCATCCAAAACGAAGCGAAATGACAGCTCGCTCTGGAGCTCCAGGAGTAGCTGAACCAGCACTGACGCAAGTAAACACACACACAAATGTATGCATAAACATCACAGATAAGTGCAGTTTCACACTTTCGCACAGTCACTGCAATTACAAGACAGAAAATCAAAACAGTCAATGTTAATGAAAAATCCAGGTGTATAATTTTTGAAGTTTTAAATTATCCTTCAGAATCTTCTACCACTGCTTTAGAAATTTGCATGCGATTAAATTAAGGAATTTACTTAAATATGAAGTGCCTTTAAATAATGGTAGTTAAGGAATTTGCATTACATAAGGCATCGTGTCACACAAGCCTGACAACCACAAGGTGCTAGTGGAAAATGTGCATTCCCTGACTGGGGGGAGGGTTGTGCACTGAAAACTTTGCCATGGTTGGCAGCAGATTGGTGTGGTTGCTCATTACGGTGCAGTCACCGTTTATTCCGAGCAGTAGTGAAACTTGAAGAAGTGCAATGCAAGCTGGGAATGGAGAAAGTAAAGGTTGTGCCTTAATGCTGCCTGCAACCAACACAGTTCAAAAAGTGCAAGTCTGCAGAGAAGACAGCTTCTTACATGCTAACTGCAGCAATCTGCTAGCAACCAAAGGAACTGCAAGGAGATTTTTGGTGCAGCACTGTACACCCTCAATTACACCCTGCTGACTGCCAGGAACCTCCAGCAAACCACTTGCTACCTGTCAGAGAATACAGTTGCCAGCGTTCACTGACCAGTCTCTGGGTCTGTATGAAGGTAGCTGTAGCAATTAGTTTCATAGCAACTGCCAGCAACCTCCAGCAATTTCTTACAGCCCTTTCTTTAAGCCCTTACCAAACATTTCTACCGATCAGTGTTAATCAGTATCAGATAAATGTGCCATTATTTTACAGCATACTGAAATTTTAGAGCTGGCGTCTAGTGTGACATTAGCGCCCTGGAGCTCCAGTGGCTCCATGGTTCATGTGTCACATGACGAAGAGTGAGCTCAGGGCATAAGTAGTGCTAGAAAACAATATCATGTTAGGTGGAAGGTTTAGGAACCTTTTTTAAGGTCTAAAAAAAGTGATGGACAAACAGGGATTAGCATTGTCGTGAGTACGTATGGAGAATGTTTGTGTTACTTTTCTCCCTGCCAAAGAGGAGAGGCAAAAGTCCCATACTGCAAACTAAACATAACATTTGGGGCAAGTTCAATTTGAAAACTGTGCAAGACATAATGATACGTATGCAAGTAGAACCTGTTTCCATTAAAGGATGTGCACTGGTGTGCAACAGGCTATGAGTTGTGGTATATTTCCATTATTGGGTGTTATACAAGCGTTATCCAAACAGTAGTGACATATATTAAACCCTGTCATAGGGCTGTGTGATATGACCAAAATCTCATATCCCGATATAAGATATCTATCATCCCGATAACGATATAAATCACAAAAATTTAACATTTTCTGTAAATTCTGTGAATCTCGGGCAGCTCGACTTGCGTGAAGTGTTTTCAGCTGGGCGCTGTGTACCTGGAGTTGAGACTTTTAACAGATGCATGAAGGCATAGGTTGTAACGGCTGCCGTTTTCTTTGTATTTATTACACGGCGTGCTGCGGGGAAAAGCCTGTTCTAACGTTTGAGTCTAAGGTTTATTTTTTTAGTACCTAATGCATCTTTTTTCCTTCTCATCCGTAAAAACTCTGCATACACTTTCACATAATTTATTTTGTTTTGAAAAGTCTCAACAGGATCTTGAGCTTATTGTGAAAGGTTAATATGCAAAACAAACAAGTGGACGGCGGGGCCACGCCAATGTTTTACGGTCGTGGTTGCAAACGACAAAAACAGTCGCTTGTCCGTCCGTAGTGTGGTTATATTAAATGTAAGAGAAAGAGAGAACTTTAACAAATTAATATAGCCACTACAGTGACCATCAAAACCACGAAAAAATATTGCCGTAAACAGTTTATTTTGCGACACCACGAAAAAACGATAGCGTAATCTGAAACGATAGATGTTTTTATATCGTCATCCGATATATATCGTTATATCGAACAGCCCTACCCTGTCATATCAAAAAGGCAGTGTACCAAATAAATAAACTGCAATAGATGCAACATCTCAGGGTGTTTAATGCATCGGTTTTCCTCTCAGTTACAACGCAAGTTCTCATTAAGCTGTAACTGCAAAGCTGAACAATTCTGTGAAGATTGTAGGCTTTCTTTCTCCTTCTTTCTTATCTCCTCACACTATGACTGCATTATTTATAGCGCTCAAGTGATTTACAAAACGTGTGCTTTACACACTGTCTGTGCAGAAACCAAATGCAGTGTCACATTTTAAGTACTCTTCTAACTGTTACAGAAAAGCAGTCCCTTGGGCATTTTTAAGACAGCTCCCGTAAAATCATTTGATTCGCAGCCATAGGTCCAGGCTGCTGGGGGATTCCCATGATGCACTGAGTGTTTCTTCTTCAGTTACCTTTTTCACTCATGACGCATTTATATACCTGCATTTAATTAGCTATTACTCATCTCTGGCTCTCTTTCACAGTATGTCTCTGTCCTGTCTTCATCTGCTCACCCCCAACCGGTCGCGGCAGATGACCGCCCCTCCCTGACTCGGGAGGTTTCTTCCTGTTTAATGGAAGTTTTTCCTTCCCACTGTTGCAAAAGCACTTGCTCATAGGAGGTTCATATGATTGTTTGGGTTTTCTCATGTATAATTGTAGGTTCTTTACCTTACAATATAAAGCACCTTGAGGCAACTGCTCTTGTGATATGGCGCTACATAAATAAAATAAAAGTGAATTGCACTGAATTAATTTGGACTTACTAAAAATTTTTATTTTTAGCATTTTTGAAAGGCTGCAATGGGAAAATCTGTCTGAGTGTTTGAAAGTGAGACTTTGCCACGAGGCCAAGATTGAGGATACAGAATAATCTGCATTTGGCTGCCCAAATAAACTCATTAAGTACAAAGAGAAATTCGCATTTCAGCTTTGAAGAAGTAGCAGTGAAAGATTATCTACTCGTGGAATGACGTCAAAGCCTCCATGTGGAGTCAAAGATCGCCTTAGCCACCAGCCCTGACCATTATCAGCAAGAAGGCTTATGTGTATCCTCCAAAAAAACCCAAAAAACACTGACTGTGTGTGTGTGTATGTGTTCACAAAAACAACTGCATAGAAGGCCTCCATCTATGTTTGCGTGAGTGCAATGTGAGCACGAGTCTGTACATAGAGTGTGTATGTGTGTTTTCCTGAGCACACACAGACACACAAGCATACATCACCAAACCAGAAAGAGGCATCTCTTCACCTTGGTCAACCTTCTCCAGAGTTACAGGGTCCTCTGCAGTTTGAAGCATCCCTGGGGACAGAGAAGATATGACAGAGCAGATTTTAAAAGGCATACTTCAAAAACCACATGCACTCTTGCTTCTACACAGAAGTACAGGAGGAAGAAATTTAATGTCATTATGCAAAAAAAAAAGGATGAAATAGGACGAAATAGAAAATACAAATTACAGAGACATTAGATGGGGCTTCATGCTAATAAAGATCTATTTGATCATACTGTACAGGGTACTCTACCTTGCATTAGCTTTGCTGGACATCCAAGATAAAGTACTATCTTAAAAGCATGTTAAAGAAAACCAACTCAGTGTAGTGATGAATGTAAGGCATATTTTTATTGGATTATGCTCAGATGGAGAAGCACAATTCATGCAGACAATCCCACAAGAACTCTAATAGCTCTTTTAACGTCTTGTCAGATTGGTCAGAGCTTTTATGGCTTAGCATTTTGCCACACATCCTCTTATTGTGCTAATTTGATTAGAGCTTAAATGGTTTCAACATAGCACTTAATGCGGCAACCTAATAATCCTCCAATGAGGAAGTTATCAATAAAACCCTCGGATGATCTTGCATTAAAAAAACATACAGAGATTCAATTACAGCAGTGTAACATTTGCAATAGAGGAGTCAGTAATTTAGTGTTGTGAGAATAATGAAACACAATGCAGGTCTATATATTAACAGTCTTACTGGCTCCACTGGGATTTTCACGGCACGGCAACTCATTCCATATTTAAAGATCCTCAAAAATTATTGCTGTCATGTCATCCGATATGTTGACACAGAGAATTATTCACGGTACAGGAGTCGAAATAACTTACGCTACAACTTAAACGCAAACAAGAAATCACAAATAATGAAAGTCTTGATAGTTTTATATGTTTTATACTTTTGTTAATAGCTCGTATTTTGTGTCTTTAACTCAAACATTTCAGAAATAATTTCAGAAACCCCGTCATAGTTAGTCAAAGGAGCTTGCAAAGAAAAGCGTCTGGACTTCTTTAAGTTACTTGAAGACGTTTCACCTCTCATCCGAGAAGCTTCTTCAGTTCTAAGGTCAAATGGTGGAGAGTCCCAGTCCCAACCTAGTGGGAGTATCCCCCCACAGAGGGACAAAAGGACCCCCTGATGATCCTCTAATCGCCTGAGCCAAGGTGTGAAACTGAGTGTGGCTCCCAATCCCCGTCATAGTTAAAAGCAAAGCTGTCCACTAGCCTGCAGCCCATGTTAATGATCTTTTTTTTGGTGGCTACTTAGTTTGATGATTCCATCTATGAAATGAGATTTAATGTGGCTGTCATTAAAAATGAAAATCGGTTACATATACAGCACTTAATTAAGGCCCAAATTACTGCATCACATCAAAGTCACAAATCAGTATAATGGTTTAATCACACTACCGATGACAAGCACACCTCTCCAAAGAAAAGAAAAGTAGTAAACTCAAGGTTAACTGCATTATCGGCGTGGATCTTTTTTTTTTTTAATGAAATCAACGCAAAAACTATTATGTCCAGTAGTGTGAATATTTCTGTATCGTGTTCTGGTTGATTGCTAAGATCAATTGTTCTCTCTGTTCAGCCTGACCTTGCAGAAAAGCTGTAATGCGACTGCACCACCAATACAACAGTGGACTAACACAGTGGTGATTAGCTTCGGAGTGCAAATGTTAAACAATCAAGCTCGAGCTAGTGAGAAAACAGCCAGTGATGGTTAGGACTGTCAGTACTGACTGAAGGTCTGTGCACTGCAATAGTACTGTTGATGCTCCTTGTTTTCTAAGTGCATTCCAGTCTGATTTTGCCTACCTAGCATAAAACTGTTTGCACCTTTAGAGAGATAGCAAGTGAGAGGTGAAAGTCCAGCGCTTCACAATCGACCTTGCTAGACATTCCTTCTGTTTCTAATCTGCTGCATGTGTTACTATTTCTCACCCAATAGTTTGGCTGTAAAATGCAGACAGACTCTGTGGTCCTGTTGGAGCAGCTCTCTCAAAGCCCCCGGAGAACACTTCAGCACTCCACTTACACTGGACAAGGCAGAAGACTTCCTCACAGACTGCATCCCACAGACAAGCGTGTAGGAGGAGAGATATAGGAGGGTAAATAAAGCTCCAGCTGAGCATCAAGGGAAATTAACAGCATAATGCAATTTTCATACACATTTCCCAATCCTTCCTAAAGGTTGTGCAAGAGAATGTAAAGCCACAGTAAACAGCTACAACATGGAGATGTATATAAATATATTTCTTCTCACTGCTATGTCTTCATTGTCAATCATTTCAATGAGGCAGGCCACACAGAGCAGCAGCCCGCCTCCCTCCACAGGCCCAAGGCGCCTACTCCACTTTGGGTCATGTCTGAAGTGGATCTTGTTGCAAACTATATCCCTGCTTGTCATTCTGTTTGTTTCGCCTGTTCAGACAGAAAGACCACAACAGCTTTTTATACAAAACTGCAGGTGAGCAAGAGTGCTAGCAAGCTATTGTATTACCTAGCGCTACATGCTAACTATAATGTTAGCACTAGGTAAAGTTAATTTGTGACTTAGCTAGCCATAATATCCTTAAAAACAGATGTTTTTGAAGATTTCTCTTAAAACCTTCAAAAACATCTGTTTTTAAGGACAAAAATGGCTAGCTAAGTTATAAATTACCTAGCGCTACATGCTACCTGTATTGTTAGCACTAGCTAGAGTTAATTTATAACTTAACTAGCCATGATTTTCCTTAAAAACAGATGTTTTTGAAGATTTCTATTAAAACAAATGCTATTGACAAACTCTAATAACCACAAAATATGTGTAATAAACCATAAACTAACCTTTGCTGACAATATATATCAGACGAGAACTGTGCAGAAATGATGGCTAAAGTCAAAACTCCAAACTTTATTGAACATTACAGTACAGTAGGTTACCAAAATAATTCCAAACACTGTTGTACTAATAAAAACTGCATTTATAATGTAAAACATTTTAATATTATAATGATACTATAAAATAGATATTTATAAACAAATATATGATACAAAAACTTAAGATGTATATTTATTAAATAACTAAATTCTCCTGTGAAGCCTCCTTCAAAATTTACCTTAACATTAAGTGTTGGTTTTAAAATAAACAAAAAAAAAAGGCCAAATTCTGACAAAAAGATAACACAGGACAATATATTAATATCTTTAAGAGTGGTTTTACTCATATTAGCAAGTGTTATGTTGAAAGGTAACCTACCTTATTTAAAAACCACAAAAAGAGCTGATGATCTAATGGATTTATCTGGTATCTTTAAATGTGTATGATAATAAAAATGCAAATGAAACAACTCTGGAATAGTGCAAGTACATGACCATAGTTGTAAACTATGAATATATATGAATAACTTAAATGTAAATGTATGAAAAAAAAAAAAAAGATAAGATACAAGCATTTTTTTTTCTGGTTGTTATTTCACTCTTTTTACTAGAAAGATCCATGTGTTGAACAATAGTGCATGAAGATAATGTTCTGGCAAATAATGATAATTATCTGAAATGCTATGATCATTTTTGCTGCAGTTATTGGAACTTTTCAATTTCGTGTACATATGGGAAATGCTTGCCTCATCATTACACTCATGCATGTTTTTGTTGTTTTTTTTGGGTTTTTTAACATAAAATCACATGAAACAGCTGCTTAGGTCCCATATTTCTTGCTGATGAACATTGGAGCTCAGTACATTGTACTGCTCTAATATTAAAAGTCCAATCAAATCAACAGTCTCTAACATTCAAAGGAAGCCTGATGGTGTATGTTTGAGCAAATCCATGCACAATTAGCCTCACAATTATATATCAACACCAATTTACCCTCCAAGGAATATCTTAGCTGATCGTTATGCTGAGACGTGTGTCTGAGTATCATTTAGCTGTGAAGGCCACAATTTGGTTATCACCATGACAACAAAAGCCTCTGGGTAACTGAGCCACTGTGTGATGATAGGTGTGTGGGGGCGAGTATCAGCTACTACCGACATGTCGATTTATAATCTCCCTCTGCTTCTCTTTAAGCAGAGTTCAGTGCGCATCAAAGCATCACACGTGTGGCCAGCTCAGCACTCCGCGCTTCTGTCTCTCAGTGACGGTGTAAATGAGTGTGCAGAGAGATAAACCCTCTCAGAGTTCAATATATGTAACCTTTGACAAATGTGCTGCGCTCCAGCAAACATATTTTAGGTGAAGTGTAGCTACTGCGCTGGGACTGTGTGTGTGTGCAGGAAGTGGTCAGAAGGTTTTGTTTCTTCTGGTTGACTGAGAAGAGTCAGACAAGATATCGGTTTATAAATTTGTGCCAGGACAGGAGCTAAATCCATCAGTCTGTGGCTTTTTATTTGCCCCCTGAGAGAGGTAAATATAACACAAAGAGAAGGAGAGCCTTTCTCGCTGCTCGGGTAAACAGGATGCATAATCTGTCAACTTTATTTGACAACTGCTTTACATTTACTTCAAGGGGGCGGTTCAGGGCGAAGACAAATGATTTGGAAACAACTCCTTTCTCCTTTCTGAGCACAAGTGGGGGGGCATAGCATGAGAACAGTTTTCACACCGTTGCCTGGCCTTTCTTTCCCTTGGCTCGAACCACTTCCTCTGCCCCTGCGAAAGCCATTAATGGGGGTGTTGTGGTGGTAATCAAAAAATAGTTCTATAAATTTGTCCATTATCTTCAGCCTACGCTTGATCATATCACCAGCTTCCTTGCACTGCAACACGCTGTTACACAGAGGCAACAACTTTTAGAGTAACAATTTTTATTTTCAGTAGTGGCTGGGATCATCAATTCACTGACTGCTCACAGCAATACACTGGCTAGGATTATCTACTCAAGGATCTGCGCTACCTCATCACCCGGTAAACCTAAACAGAGTGTTTAAACCACAGCACTGGATCATTATATTGTTACTGAGCTCATTTACTACAAATAAATATTCAAATAAATAAACGGGCCACTTCGTGTAAACCTATCAGTGTTTTTATGACGCAGCACTGCTTCTAAATATGTTCTCAAAAAAAGGAGAAAAAAAGTTTGGTTCAGAGAAATGATCGCAGATCGGAAGTGGGCGGAACGGGGAAAATGTGCGTGTGCGTCGGCTGTGGGAGGCTCGCCGGTCTGTCTCTCGTCTGTAGCGCTCAGGTGCGCTTCATCCTCATTCAGAGGTGAAAACTTTCCGAAACCGCTACCATGGATTATAAGATATCAGCAGGCAGTCATTTATGAAAATACAGTGAAATATGTTGAAGCATCGCGGCAGCGTCGGAGGAAAGCCCGATTAAAGCCGTTAAAGTCCTCTGTGACGGTAAGAGACCGAAAACTCAGTTATGTTTTTAACTCGGTGAAACGGGAACTTAAACTTTGGATGTTCGATCATTTGTGCTGTTTTTGTGGCTATAATGTGGCATACATTGCGTCACCTGTTGGTTAGATATGATATAGCAAAGTTTTTTTATACATATATTTAAAGTTTTATTTTAATAAGACCTATAAAATTTCTCAAAATAGACCAAAATGGGCTTGCCTTCTGTTACTGTTTTCAAATTGAAACTTTTACTCTGAAACATAGCCTGTAAGATCGTTTATGTTCATTTTAATTTGTCCTGCTGCTGAATAATCAGAGAAGCACATATAACTTCAGTGTGCAGGCACAAAGTGAAGTCATGTTTTAACAACAGCCCTTAAACTGAAACTCTTTGTGCCTCATTCGTACAAATTCATGTGTCCCAGTCTGATCCCCTAGTTGTGAAGTAATTCCACTCCACCAGTCAACCTGGTGGAGTGGAAGTACTGAAGACCCAGGCAAATATGTTGCATTACTTCCTGGGGGATCTGAAATGTTAGTCATCAAATGTTTCCATACAGCCACAGCAAACTCACAAACCGGAAAGACTTTTGCAAAATATGCAGCACACTCTGCTCTCTTGGCCACAGTACAGAGAGGTAAGAAAAACCCCCCAGTTTGAGACATGAAATAAAACCACAGTGAATCTACTGTATACTTTCTGTTTATGGTCAGACTGGAGCATCTTACTCTCTAGCCTGCTTACATAACCGCTGTTTGCTAGACTGCAGGTTGAACATGTGCAAACACTTTTTCTTGTTTTGCCTTATCTTCAGGCAGACTCAAGAAAAAAGTAGAAGAAAAAGAAAACGCAAACAAACACTACGGCTCTCTAAATGACTCCTCAGCACTTTCCACAGCTGATGTAAGGCACAGTTGACAAACTGGGGAAACTGTACCAACAACAGTAGCTGCTTTTACCCCTATAGTCCCGCATCCATGTATATAGACAGTGCAGGTACTGTGCGAGCTGTGATGTGCGACGTGACGTGTCACTCAGATGTCATCGTGGTCAAAGGCCCCAGGTGTTGTCCTCAGGTAGCACCAACCAGGGGAGTATTTGCTTTCAGACAAGGACAGCCACCAATGCTCAGCCCTGGGTCTGAGTGTCTCGCTTTCACAAAGATGCTTTTGATATCATAAGCTCAGGACAGCGATGCAAATCAAAACTGCACCGAGATCAGTTTTAACCTGGAGGGCGGTGAAAAGAGAGGATAGACAGAAAGTGGCACTGAAAATGACCTGCTGAGTGAAGAGGAGGGGGAATTTCAGACTGTGCCCAAAGTTAAAAACAAAAAACTGCAAGACAGATTTTCATGCACAAAAAAGTGACTGACTGTAATGATGCAAAGCCAATGGAATTGATAATGAACCATCATTACCGCGGTGGTGATGGATTTTCATCTTCATGCGGATGATGGGAGCGGATTCGAGTTTATTAGCAGGAAAGAATCCTGGCTCTTCCATGCGATCCGGCCTTCCATTCTTCCACTAATTAGATTGATGCGTCTGTTGCCTCGCGTGCTGGAAAACTCCATTCAGAATGAATAAAACCGTGTCACATAATCGCGGGTAAAAAAGATGAACAAAGGGGAGAATAGTGCAAGGCACAAAAATAAATGCTTCGAGGCATTTTCATCTAGTCTGTACAGGAATAGTAACTCTTATCCATTTATCCACCCACACAACACAAGTACTTTTGCTCAGTACTTCAAGTCAGCATCAATTTTTTTCTGTAATGTTGAAAAAGTCTGACTGTGTGTTCTTCTTTTGTTTCCCTCTTTGTATTTCTCACCTTATTCTTTAATCAAGGTTTCCACTGACTTTTATCTTTTACTACTCTCTCCTCTCTATCTGGCTCTAAAGCTGGACTCTTAAACTCTTTTTTTCCCCTCCAGCCTTTCACACTATCTCTCCAACCTTTTCTTCAACCATCCCCTGTTCCCCCGTAGCTCACATCCTCTCCTGCTCTCGCCTGTCCTCTTTCAGACCTTTACTTTCTTCTCTTGTCATGTCTGTATCCATGAGGAACCCACCACAGCGCCGGCGCTCTCTAGGTCCCGTCTCGCCCAAACGCATCTACAGAAACCTGTCCTTCAGACTCAGGGGGGGTGGAGAGTCATCTGTTGCCGCCGACTTGGATGCGCCTAAACGCCCCAGCAAGTCTGCAGATGCTGTAAGATATCCAGGTGTCATTCTGAAAGGGAGCTTTGGTCACGTTGACTGAAATGTCATCTGCCTTGGTTTCTGTTATGGTTAAAAACTATGAGATCTCTACTTGACATTACACGCTATCTCTGTGTCACTAACCTCCTGAGACCTGACAATACATTTTGTGGACACGTGTCTCTCAAGGGTATTCCAATAGGCGAGCAGACTCATTGTTAGATGTCTCACGTGTGAGGCTGTCACCATCGTCAAACTGACTCCTACTGTAGTTTGACAGCCACATTTTATGGGAGCAAGAGATTAAAAAAAAAATCAAAGCTAGTTTCAGAAAATAAATCAGTCCTCTGCGACAAAGCATTGTAAGCTTTAAAGCCGACCTATTCGGTTTATCTTATTTCCTGTCATATATTCTGTCATATATGTTATTCATATATTAAATGGTAGATTCGCATACTAAACGTGGTTGTAGTCAGCATATGTCAACAATACAGAAAATACCCCAACAATGAAACGACTATGAGCAAACACTTGGCGACAGTGGAAAGGAAAAACTCCCTTTTAACAGGAGGAAACCTCTTGCAGAAATAGCCTCTGGTTGGGTATTTTAAAACACATTTCTCTTTCTGTTACTGGCTCTGTGTGGCGGCACAAAGAGAGGCACACAGCTATAGCTGTGAGCGCAGAAGCCCGCAACGTCTGCTCTTCATCCCTTCTATTTACGAACCGAGCGGCTGCACAAAAGCTAAATATATAGTAACGACTGATTACTTTGAACTGTGAACTGTGCATGCGTTGTCATGTATGCAGTGCATGGGCAGTTATCTGAAGCTTGCGATTAGTTTATTTAGGGATTGGTTAATTGATTTTCTTGATTGGCTCACAGCTCTGACACACACTGGCAGTTGCTCATAGTTTGATCTCCCAGGTCCCTTTCAAATATTTTTGAGCTTGTTGAGTATGTGTCAAAAACACTGTGTGTGCAGGTAGAAATTTATAGTTTTAACATCTGCTTTAAAAAAAAAAATCAAAACAAAACAAAAAAACTGAATTCTTGAAGTTCAGCATTAAAATTTTCCAGTCTTCTTTTATTTTATTGAGAAATTCCCTAACGTCCACTACACAGGGCATTACATTACACTGGGAAAAAATGCTTTCAGAAAAGGAAATCACTCTCAAGCACCCTCTGTTATATAGAGCTGCTCCTGCTGCTGCTTCATATAATAATAAGAGCAATTCACAAACTTTCCTGGTCTCAGGAGGCTCCTGTATAAAGCATCAGTCGAGGCACCTTTGGTTTATGATTTGATTTGTGTCCGATATCATTCTCCCTTTTAACGTTCCCTTCTCTTTACTGCGGGAAATAAATCTCTCTATCCTTCTTAACCCTCTTTCTCTTTCTCTATCTCGTTCCTCCACCTGCCTACCCTCCCGCGGCCCTGCACCCTTTCTCCTGCTCCCCATTAGTACAAGACCCTGTGGGAGGCAGTGGAAAATGAGGATACACTGGCTGTACAAAGGCTTCTGTCCAGAGACCGCAGCAGCGGTGGAGGAGGCGGAGGCGTGTGGGAGAAAGGAGAGAAAAAAGAGAGGGACTGGGAGAGGGACCGGGAGAAAGGGGTGAACAGAGTGAGTGAACAGGGGCTGGTCCCCCTGGATGTGGCTGCCCTTACCCACAATTCCCCGCTGCTTCATGTACTGACAAAGGCAGGAGCCAGACACAACCCTGTTTGTAAGTCTTTTCATGTAAAATGTCAAAAGTAATGGTGTAAAATCAGATTCTGTACGGCTTGACTTTAATTCAGATTATGCCCTTTGTCTTGCTTCGTGTGCTCGTCCTGTGCCTCTCAGTGTGCCGACCAGCGGAGTGGGCACTCAAGCTGGACGCTCTGGTGGCCTTGGCAGATAAACGGACAGAAGAGAGGAAGACGGAGTTAGCGAAAAAGGCCGGGGCAGGCCCTCAGGCACAGGCTGATCTTCAGAGGCACATCCAGCTCTGGAGGCTGCGGCAGCAGCTGTACTATCGGATGAGAGAGAACTTCCAGAACACAGGTCAGCGGTCAGCTTGTGGTATTTCACTGTTTCGCTGCTTAGCACTCAAACTCAGATCAGTTTTCTTTCTGTTTTCAGTGAACTCTCGCTCGTTTTTCCCCCTCATTCTTTATTTCTGCTCTCATAATAAAACTTTTTCTGCAGCCAGCGCAGTACTTTCCTGCCAATTTAACTCTACAAAGCCACCCGCCACTGCTGACAAGATGGCAGTGATCAAGTCTTCAGCTCAACATCTTGCTTAAGTTTTACTAAAACTCTCTCTCTAGCCTCTTTCATCTTATCCAACATTCAGCAGACTGCCGTGTCATCAGCCTTTCAAATCCTCTCCTTCCCTGCACTCCCTCCACTGGCTCCCTGTATCAAATAAACCCTCACAGCTGTAGATTTCAGTAGAAATTCACATGTGCAAAAACCTTCAAGACTTCGGCGAATCACGCGTCGACGCATCGGGCAACTTGCCATCCTCTGCACCACCTGTTCAAGCCTTTTCCTCTTGGCTCTCTGTTGGGCTAATTTTTTTTTCTTATTTTTTTCAGATTTATATTGCAATGTTCCCCGCTGTACCAACTTTAACAGCTCTTTATAAATGTCTCTCCTTAGCTCTCGTTTCATTTCTCTTTCAAGCACAGCCAATTCTCTCTCTGACTGTTTTATTATCGCAGCGTTATTGTAAGGGCAGCGAGGCCCCGGCGCTTGTTTTCATGTGCAGTGAAATTAAACTCACTCTTATTGTAAATCTCGCTGGGTAGGAGAGCCGGATGGCATCTTTAAATATAAAATATGGATGTGTTTTTGTCTGACGACTGTGACTTACTTATGGTAATGTTTTCACTCAAGATTACATCTTAGGCTGAAGAAACTGAAACACAATTAGATTTAATCATCAAACTCTGGCAGCGTTTTAAGGTAGAATTGTGATAATAAAAAGCTCCAAGATTGTCTTGAAACAACACAGAGTCCGCAGGGAATACAATTTTCAACCCTGTAAAGCCTGAGCCATGAAATAATGGCCCCAAAATTCAAAGTTTTTGAATCTGGAATGTTTATTCAAGCATCATTTTTCACAAAATCTGGTATTTTTGTGCAATTTATTTAGGTTTTTCAGGAGAAAGATTTCCACTGATGATGTAAATAAATAGCGCACAAATACACAAACTTTGTAAGTGTATTTACTGCATACAGCAACCATTTGTAGATAGTAGAAGCATATAGGTTTTTTTTCTAATCTATTTATTTTTCTGTTTTTAATACAGTTTAATTCACTTTGTCTTGTTGGCCCTTGTGCTGCTGTAACATGTGAATTTCCCCAGTGTGGGATTAATAAAGTCTGTCTATGGTACAGTTGGCCCTACAGGGTTGACATCAGTCTGGAACAGTCTGATTGCATATCATTTTTCAGTAGCCAGCTGCTAATGCAGTGCTCGTTTTTAACCTTTCTTTAACTGTTGGCAAACCCAGTCAGATGGTTAAAGATTAAATGCTTGGTTGTGGCGCTAAAAAGCACCAGTGTGGGAATAAAAGCCATGGAGAAATAGCTTTTATGTTTAAGAGAATAATAGCCATTACTGTATCTATCTCCTTTTCTGTTAGTGTGTGCCCTGCCACCAGCTGACCTCACCATAGGCCGAGGTCAGACATCAGTCTGTGGTTGCCGTGATCACCTATTTAAGAAAACCTTAGCTGAGCTAGTGTAAAAAAATATGTAGTCTTTCTAAGATAGAGGACAAATATACTAGTGGTTATCAGTGATATCTGTTGGATGTGATCAATTTTCCGGAGTTTATTTGTGTGTGTTTTTTTTTTTTTTGTCATCAAGTTTACTGCAGTGTGATATTCTGTAAAACTCAGTGCAGTACTTTGGCTGTCTGCATTTGTTCTGTTATTTACTCGTGCTCATTTTAACCCGATTTTTATCTTTTCAATGTTCCACGCAGAGCTCCCGGGCTCCCCCAGTCATGTGTCCATCCTGGTGACGAGCACATCATCTCTGTTTGTGACAATCAAAGAGCCAGAGGGGGACATGGTGGGGCTCATCACCCGCTACAGAGGTAGGGAGAGAACCAGGCAAGAAGACTTTCATGGAGGATTGGTTGAATGGATGGGTAGATAAAAGGGTCAGTTAGATGTGGGGCAGAAAATGGATCGATTCATGATGGATAGATAAGGAAATTAATGGAGTATAGACTTTACTGGTGCAATTTAATCAAAGTCTTGAAAGTAATTTAAGCCGGCTGACACAGTATCTAGTTTGGGCTGTTTTTGCTGGTCGGTTTTATAGACGTATAAATGTCATGCTTCGCGGCCAAGAATAGATTAAGCCCAGATGCAGCAAGTTCCCAAACCTGTAAACACTCACGTCCTTAAGTTATCCCTCACGAGGGGTTTTGAGCAAAGCCAGAGAATAATCTATCTGTGGGATTGTTTTGCATTCACAGTCGAATGGAGCACCTCGGCCAGCTTCAAACGCATCCTCGGCACGGCCCAAGTTATAGAGACCAAGAACCCTTCCTACGTTATCAAGGGGCTGACGGCAGTAAGTCGCCCACAGTCACACGTATTCACAACCACAGATAACAGCTGCAAATGCACAGATGCTGCAGACACGCACAGAAACTGACACCTGTAATTTCTCAGAGGCACATAATCAAGCAGACGGGTATAAAACACGTGCTGCAGCTCTGCACCCACACACACTGTGTTTATTGCTCCTCCATCACTATCTTCTGCACTGAACCACCTCTCATAAGAGTACACTTATCAGCAGGCTCACTTTAACCAGATGAATTAATAATGAGAGCGCCGTATGGCTTCTTGGTTAATGCTCGGTGATAATTTGGCAGGTCTGCTGTTTCTCCAAACACAGGGAGTGCATTACTTCGTGAGAGTGAGCGCCTACAACGTGAAAGGATGGGGCCCGCCTCAGTGCTCCACTCCAGCCAGCGCTGCCCCCTCCAGTGAGTGTGCAGAACTACACAACTTTGATGAATGTGGATTTTGAAGCTTCGAAAGAGCTCCATTCTTTCCCTCTTTGTCCCAGTGTAATAGAATTACTTAGCTGACATTAAGCTCGATGTGAAAGAAGTCCAATCCTCTCGTGGCTTGTAGATTAATGAGTTATTAAAACGTGGAGACTTAAAGACGGCAACACGAGTCAATGGGCCTTGCAGCCGTGCTGCTTTGACTTTTTTTTGGCTCGTAATCTTTCTTGGACGCCACCCACCCCTATCGCTGGGCTTACTTTCTGTTACTTTCTACTTCTAACAAAAGCCAGAGCTGCCAAGCAAGGATTTGTAATGGGGAATAAAGGCTGAAAATATTGATGTCAAAGCAAACACTGGTCAGTAAACAATCACAGCCAGAGTGTAATAGATTGCCCAATTTATCGTAAAGGAGATTTGTTGTGCTTTTCCTTATTTTCTGTCACATATGCTGTTACAGTAGACGGTATATCATATCAATCATGACAAAAGCCTCAAATAATGAGGTCAGTGTGTGTTAAGAAATCCCTCTGAACCCAAAACTCAGGCTTCAGGCAGTTTCTTTCTATACGTTACTATATAATGTCAACATGCACACACACAGGTGGGTGCAGAATCCCCATCCGCCTGCTGTTAATACCTTGAGATTGAGGGGCTTCACTAAGACCCAGTATAAGATCAGTAGGAATTATTCTGTCAACCTTGAGATGGAAGTGAGCGGAAATTAAATAAATAAATAAAGATTCACTTTAAAAACACACACACACAAAAGATCCCCAGCTTAAATAGATACATGATCAGAGCGAGTCACAATGAATCAACTTCAATTTCAACTTTCACAGCATACAGACGGTCTCTCATGGAGACGCTGTCGCTTCCTAATCACCAAAAGATTAAAAAATAAAAAAGCGGCACTCAGGAGTCGCTTGCAAATTATTTCTTGCTGTCTTTGCTGATTTTCCTAATTGCATAGAAGTGAAAGCCACAATCTGCTTCTCTCTGCCTGTCCTGTGCAGGTTGGAGAGAGTGCGCTGGTGTAAAGTCACAGCTCAGAAATCACGAGGCCCTCGTGAGGAAGCTGCTGGAAGATGCCAAGGAGTCGCATCTTAGAGGATATTGCATAGGTAACGTGAGACCTCTGGTTTTTTTATGCTTTGGTGCATTGGGTCCAAGTGCACATGTTGTTGCCGTTGTGTGTGTGTAATTATACTTGCACAAAATTGAGCTTTTATTGAAATTCTTATGTGTTGTATTTTCAGCCTGTGCAAACAGTCAGAAAATCAGATTATTTGCACAAGCCTTTAATGTGCATACTCGACAACATTTTATTTCTATTTCTCACCATTTATATCAGCAGCATGCGCTACAGATCTCAGCTCCTTTAAATACAAAGAGAAAAGTCTTTTCCCTGCCTTCACCCAGTCAAGTGTCGTGCGTGCACAGTGAATGTATTTTGGGAGATAAAATGAATTTCATCCAGTCTGATCCTCCTCGCCTCCTCTCCACAGAGAGCTCGAAGCCCCAGAGTCCCAGCAAGCGTCTGTCAGTGTCTCGAGGCATCAAACAACTGTTCCAGTCCGCCACCAAGTTTGTTCGTTTCCTACAGAGGTAGCGCTCAGTCTCTCTTACCTATCCCACTGTGCCCTGAGGGTATCACAAGTAATGGATTAAATGCAATCCCATTAGAGCAGCATAGGCTGCAAAGTTGAAAAGCCTTATCTCTTACTGTTATTGCAGAGAACAGTAGTCACATTAGAGCCACTGTAGCTGTTAGTAAAAAGGTCTTTTGAACAGAACGATGGCTGTAATCACTGGACTGTGGCAAGTGGCAGGTGACTGATAAATCCTTCATCCTCCCACAAGCGATCCGTCGACCACACTCACCACATCAGAAGCTAGCAAAGTACAAAAGATCGTGCTGCATGATTATGTTCATGAATATGAACCACAGTGAAGGTTAAAAAAAAAGAAGAAAACTTTGGTAGTGAACAGAGAGAAGTTGACTGTGTTTGGACCCCTGAGTAATTAAAAAAAAAAGAGACCATGTTTCCTACTGGACTGTCATGTTGGTCTATGAAACCAGCCTCTGTGCTTTTGCTTTACTTGAGGGATTATAAGCTGCTTTGACAGTAATAAGTGTTTGAAAATCCACTGGGTGATTCAAAAAATAAATTGCTGTCAAGCCACAAAATTGATCTTTTTCAGCTATAAACTTTCCCCCCGGAGGCAATGCTTTTTATTGTTTCTTGTAATTTTGCGGTCCGCGGTGACTTGTGAAATTGAAAGCAGCGTGTGCACTTTTTCTGACGTTATCTGCGTTTTCTCAAATTGATCCGGTCAGGGGGGTGTACTTGGCGACTGTGTTCTACCACAAGGATAACATCCTGGTCACAGCCGAAGATCAGATCCCACTGGTGGAGATCCAGTGCTGCTCCACCTCCATCACCCAAGACTTCCTTTGGCTTGCCAAGGTGAACTGTTACATAGCTTGTTGACTCACTGTACAAGTAATTGAATAATCACAATTCATAAATATTAAATATATTTACAGAAAATGAATCTCAGTGTGATTTTTCTGCTTAAATTGGGTGTTCGGTTTTTCTTGTAGCTGTCCTGTGCATGGCAGCAAGTGCCCTGGCTACAGCAAGGGCTTTCCTCCGCTCACTCATCTCCCTCCTCCCTCCTTCAGAACAGACACAACATTTTAAGAGCTGTTTCCCAGCTGCAGGTAGGAAGTTAAGCAGCTTATTGTTAAGATAAGAAGCACCAAAATGGGTTAATTGCTATTTTAATTACTTCTTTACATCTCTTCCTCCTCTTCCTTTCCTTATTTTTGCCATGCTTTCCTCTGTCCGGCTACACAACTGCGCCCACAGATCCCCTGTTTGGCTGAATTAATCTCCAATGCACTTATACTTTTTAATCCTTGGTTTCTCTTGTCCACCTCTGTGATGTCAGTCTTCTCTGGGAGCAGTGGACCTGGGCCAGATCTACTATGAACCCCTGAAGGATCGGCAGGGCAACGTACTGCTAGTCACTCTGAAGGAATTTCCAAACACTCCCAGGTAAGAAAAGGTCAAAGAAAAAGGGCAGAGAGCATCAAAAGGGCTTTAAACTAATTGGGCAAACACAATTTGGAAAAGTTAGAACCCTGGAAAATGTAAATAAGGGCAGAATGCAAGAATATGAAAATCCCATAAACCCATACTGAATACGTGAGAAGACACAGGAAACATATTTGTTTAAACTGAGACATTTTGACAGGGGTGGGAAAGTAAAAAGAAACTGTTGGAGGAACATTTTGCAATTAATTAGGTTAAATAGTAACGGGTCAGTAACACGACTGGGTATAAAAAGAGCATCTTAAAGAGGCAGAGTTTCTCAGTAAAGATGGGAATGTAGTCAGCATTCTGTGAAAAACTGTATCTGGAAATTATGAAAAGAAATCTGAATAATGTTCTGAAATTAAAATGCAAAGACTTTGATGATCTCATATTATGTTCTGTATATTATTAGAGAATATGGAGAAATCTCTGTGTGTAAGGGACAAGACTGAAAATCTGCCCTCAGGCAACACTGCATGAAAAACAGATGTGATTCGTCATGGAAATCACTGCATAAGCTCAGGAACACTCCCATAAATCACTGTCTGTGAACGCACTTGGCGTCCACACAATTCAGGTTAAAGCTCTATCATGCAAAAAGAAGCCGTATTTGAAAATGATTCTGAAATGCCTCTGTCTACTCTGGCACAAAGCTTATTTGAAATAGACGGAGACAACGCGAAAAAACTGTTATGTTGTCAGGTGAAGGTGGTGAAAAGCAAAAATCTTTTTTGGAGAACGTGGACACAACATCCTCTGGACTAAAGAGCAGAGGCACCATCAGCACTCTGATCAAACGCCTGCATGTCTGATGGCATTAGTTTGCATCAGTGCTGATGGAATTGACAGTTTGCACCATATATAAAAGGTTTTAGAGGAATGTGCAGTGTGCTCTGGTCCAAATTATGTCTTTTTCAGGTAAAGGCTAAACCACATACTGCATTTATTATAACAGCATGGCTTCATAGTAGAAGTGCTAAACTATCCTGTCTGGCTGTCCAGGCTTTTCACCTGCTGAAAACATCTGGCACGTCATGAAATCATAGTTTCAGAATTTACCAGGAAAAAAAACTTCTATCACACTATCACAACAAAAATGACCTTTGTTTGCAGTCGGTGGTAGCGTAATTAGGTGTCAAGCTGGGCATGTTTGGAAGTCATGCTGTACAATATCTTTGGGTTATACAGCCTGTCAGCTGGTTGTTGGTGGGGTACTGGCTTTGCTATTCTTGATGAATCGACCTTTTCTTTGGTGGTTCCATGTGGTTGCATTTCATTTTTCCCTGGCTTGTCTGCTCTAGCCCCCCCGACCCCCCGCTCCACTGGATGCCTCTGGCACGCCTGGAAAAGAACCGCAGCAGAACGCCTCTGCTGCCTGAGCCCACCGCCATGGACATGCTCGCTGAGCAGCTCAAGGTGAGGAGAGGAAAACAGTCGCACCCAGCAGCGGCTTTCAACAATAGCGCATTGGGTGCTGAGTTTTACTGAGCCACTAGTTTACCTCCTGTGCTGCTAACCCTGAAAAAGCACTGAAATTAATTTGGGATCCCCAAACTGAATTAGCTAACAACACATAGTGAGGCAGGGGGAAATAACTCTCATAAGCTTTACATCCTATTAACAGATCTTAACATTTCTCTCTCTTTTGCACCGTATCTCTTTGTCTCTGTTCTCCAGGAGAAGCTGTCCTTTCACAGGCACAGCCTCCAGTGCGCCCAGCCGGGTCTGTATGTGGGCATCCTGAAACTGTGTAGCTCGGTGGAACAGATCAGGGTGCTGGTGCCTCAGAGGTTGCCCAGTTTACTCTGCCACACACGGGTTCGGCACAACGCGCACGTGACCAGGTAAGGTAACTTGACCAGGTGATATCTGTGTCAGTCCCTTGATAGACTATGTTGACCTTCATCAGGTTATTGCAGTATTTTTACAACTTTATCTGGAAAACAACCGTCGAAAAAGATATACTATTTTAAATGATCTGCACAAACAAGTGCAGTATCTATACAAATGTTAGGGCTTCAACAGGCAGTGATACTGGATTGTTTTTGGACCTCTCTCCTTACTTATTATGCCCGTTTTGTTGACTGTGTTTTTACTGTGTGGCAGAGAGGAGTGGACGTGGCTTCAGAGTCATGTTTACACTGCAGCCAATGGCGGTGTTCAGAGTCTGTTGGACGCTGAGGACGAGAGCACGATGGAGAGCAGCAGTATGGAGGAATTCGTCAGGTCTCTGAGAGCAGCAGTCACACATCTCCTGACGAAGCTCAACATCCCCCTCTACAGGGTAAACACTACTTTCCAGCCACCTCATATTTACCTGAAACACCTGAAATTCTCTGTCAGACTATTATGAAGAGAAATAATCTTTTAAACTGATTTTCTTTGTCCGCTTTATGTTGTTTTATCAGCACTAGCTCTTGATCCAGCGGAAGGATTTTCTGTTTCTCATCTGTATTTGAATAATTGTGTTTCTCACAGGCGTATCAGTACGGCGTGTACACCCAGGAGTTGCTTCAGTTTGGGGATAACCTGTCAATGCTGCTGCTGCTGCCTCCCAGTGAGGACTTCAGCTCCAGTTACTGGCCTCTGGTGGGGATCAAGGAGCCCGGCCTCACCATGCCTCTGCAGATCTTTGAGCTGGGTAAGTGGAAAACTATATATCCAGTGGATCTATTTAACAATGGTAGCGCAGAGTGTTTCAGTGATGAGAAAAGGGACCCAGAAACGGCGAGCTAGACTGACACATACCGTCTAAATGAGACTACAGTTTTAAATGTTAAATAAATCCCTGCAAAGATATGCAGAAAGCACACTGAGGCACAATGTCTAATGCAGTTCACTGTTCTCCTCTCATTAAAGCTAGAGTAGAGTGCACTGATAAATTCTGTGGCTTTTTCCTCCTGGCTTTGATGAAGTCATTTGTCTTTCCTCTCCTCTCTGGCTTGTCACCCAGTTCACTTCTGGACATATGAGCGGGATTTCCTCTCACAGTACTGTCAGGCCTGGGTAAGGCTGGAGCTGGACACTCACCTTGCCCAGCAGGCTCTACGGGAAGCGCTGGAGACCAAAGAGGTGCAGGAAGCCCGGGAGCGGCTGAACCACATCAGTGGGCTTTCACAGGTGAGATCCTGTGACACGTGGTTTATATTTGCTTCCACTGTTGCCAAATCCACATTTCAGTTGACTTAATTATATTTAAAAAAGTAAAGTAAAGATTTCTTAATGAAAGTGAATTAGAGACAAATGCTTTACTGTCTCTACTGCCTGTTTTTTATGTTTCATTAGCGTCTGGATGTGGTCTGGAGGGATGCCCGCTGGATTATGGACTGTCTACAGTGTGTTCGGTCCAAGCAGTGGGTGGGGGCGGTGCCTTTAGGCCTGGTGATGGGAGGAGACCCACCACCATGTCCTGATGGTGAGGAAGAGGAGAGTTTGACTGTCCGATTGTCATGGCCCCATCGATTAGCACAGAGAGCCATTACAGGTACTGCAGTCATGCTAGTGTACACATGTAGCACTGAATACACAAAAACATTATTTAACATGAATTTAATTACTTATTTACATAATTTTAAAATCTGTTGACTTGCCCCTATAATGGCCTTTAAAGTTTGCATGTTAAATGTAAAAGTTGCGACAAATGACTGGATGGATCAACTGCCTTCAAAGACCTGCTGTGGAAGAGAGCCTGAGATTGATGATAACCAATGATTGAATGTGGAGTGGTGTATAAACACATAGTGAGTGAAGAAGAGAAATTCAGAGCATCACGGGAAGCCCCAGCAGCCTAACTAAAGGAGGATTCAGGGTCATCTGATCCAGATCATTTTATTTATAAGATTAATTATATGTTTAAATCTTATTCGATCAATCTGAAAAGCAGCAGCAGAAAGCAGTTGCGGATATTTATACTTGGCAAAACAGAAAATATGTCTGCTAGTCAAAACACTTGAGGGAAAATTGAATATTACAATGAACTGTTACCATTGCACTGTCATAATAACCGCTGTTACAAGAATTAAGTGTAATTTGTAGAGCAAATGATGCTTTAAAACAAAGATAAATACTTTCTCTTTCTCGACCTTATTTTCTTCGTGCTTCCCTTTCAGAGAATTCGGGCAGTGCGACTCCGCCAAACATCGTCACCGCTGAGGTCTCAGCTCCAGCTATCCCTGCAGAGGCTGCGCTGGTGTTGATGGAGGGTGTCGTGAAGGGAGGGTACCCTGTAGACATCACCACTCAGTTGCCTGCAGACTTGGCAAGTTCTGGCCAGTCAGATTTGGGATCTGGAAGTGCTTTAATGGAGTCTGGATTGAAGCCTGCTGCTGTTGCACAGCTGGAAGTGGACTATCCAACTTTGGACACACAGGAGTCCTACAGCAGAGAACAGGACTTACCTTCCAGCATCACTGAAGTAATCCGGCCGATGGAGATGGCAGAGTTGGTGGACATCTTGCCAACGCTGAGTCTCATTGAGGAGGAGAACCCCTCATGCCCATCCACGCCATCAGTAATGGACATGCTAGAGAGCTTTGGACTGGACATTGGTGAAAGAAACTCCATCTTTGAGTTTGGGAATTCAGACCCAGTGGATGGAAGCAGCTGCCCGTTGTCACAAGAACAATACACGCCTGCCTCTTATGGCACGGTGAATGGCACAGATGGTGATGCGCCTGTTTCCACAGACGTTCCTCAAGACAAAGCAGAGACTCAGAAGCTTCCCAGTAAGGGGACGTGTCTTCCAGTAAGGAATCAAGTGGAGTGGGAGAGACCCTCTAACAGCCCATCCTGATGTCAGCTTAAACACCTGGATCCTTCAGACTTTAGTGTGAATTTACATGCAGAAAATCCAAATTTGACCCTGTGACTTAGACATTCTCCTTGTTTCCTGATCTTAAATCAGTGTTTTAAATGACAGGCAGATACAAGCTCATATCGCACACTTGTCACACCCAAGATAATGGAAAATACGGGAAATGAAAAGGAGGCTGTGTGGATTTTTTCCCTTTTTTTTTGCACATTTCTTTGGCTTTAGTTTATCTTTTCTAATATAGAGTCCATTTAACCTTGTTAGGTGGAAAAATTAAGCTATATTGTTGCTGTTATGACTTGAAAACCCATTATTCACTACAGCACAAAAACATCCACGCTGCTGCTTGTCGGAGCTGTAAACAAACCCATTAAATTCCCACAATTCAGTCAAATGGAAGCATTTGCTTGGCAGATTAAGAAAAGCTGTCATACTTGCATGTGTAACTGAATAATTACGGCTGCGTTTGGTTTGGTTCGAAGCGGTTTCTCTGGTTTATTTACCACAGAGAGGCAAACTGAACGAGAGCGCTGAAAGCATATTGGAATGCAAGAACACAATAGGATATAATGGTCTTGCCTTTCAGCTTGGCGTCTTTCAGTATATGGCCATTTTAATGAGACGCTTTTTCAAATTAAACTTCTTTGTGCGTTGCCACAGTTAATACTATTATGGAAGTGCAATATGTTAGGCATAAAATACAAATGCTTGAGTCGGTTAGCCAGCCTTGAGAGGCTGAATCAGCGTGCGACCTCATAAACGAGCTGTAGTAATGAATATACTATTAATGAAATGACATCTAAACATCCCAAACATCCAGATAAATGAATTTAGAGGCCGTTTGTATCTCCTACATGTCCTCACTTCTAGGAGAAAATCAATGCCTGCATGTCTGATTTCAAAAGCCCCTGCACTCTCTGACAGCTGCTAATGCACTCCTGCTTGTTTGACATGTTATCTCACTCTGTACTTGTTAAGGCTGGAAATCCATCATAGTTTAATGCAATTTCAAATCACTCAGAATGACTTCAAGCGCCCATTTGATGCTGGAAGATGGTGCACTTACACAGATTGTTAATTAAACAAAGAGGAGCGCGGAGTTTGACTTGAGATAAGCAGCTTGGTATTTTAATCGCATCCCCACCCCATCCCTTTATGATAAAACGAAGGCGTAGAAACATCAGCTTTGAATGGTATTTGGTTTAACAATACAATCTAGTGGAGCGATCTGCTGAGAATGTCCCCCCCCACTGATGTGTCGAAATCATTCGTCTTAAAAGAGCAGATAAAGGACTACAGCAGCGTGATGTTCAAATTCTTATTAAGATAGAGCCGGCTCTGACAAACTTTGATTAGTTACAGGTGGGATCAAAGCAGAAATTTTTTCCCCCTGTGTAATTTAATGGGAAAGCATTTATGGTATTTAATGTGTATCAGAGGAAACTTGGTCACATCATTGATCTTGTGCTTTAAATGCTCAGTATGTGTGTGAGGAGGTGAAAAGTGTTGGGATGGTGAAAAGTCATATCAGGTCGACCTGACCATACAGAGGGGAATCTGCCCCCTTTGGTAACTTGATACATTTTTAGATGGAAGAAGAGTGAACTGGTGTTTGTTCTGAAGATGATGGACCATAGATGGCTGTTTACTGACATCTAGTGGTCATAAATGATTAAAACTCTCTTCAATTTGTGGCTAATATGCGAGTTTTGGCATTCGATTCATGCTTTTCTGATGTTTACAACTGGCTGGAACATGGATGCAATGCAATAATGAATAATAAGAGAAATGTTAAGTAAAGTGAAAACAATCAAAACTATTTATCCTGTCACACTCAGATCTGCAGTTTGTTGTGTTTATCACAGCAGGGCTCACAGTAGTTACTGAAATATCTTTTATTTCAATAAATAGGCCGCTCTTAACTCATCTCAGCTCATCTAAATGACTTCATTGCTACTGTTTTGGTGTCATGTATTTATTGTGTAATCTGTGGCCTGCAGTTTAGGTTTCTCTTTAAGTGGCAAAAGACAAGGGAGGAAATTTTACACCACAGGGCTAACTCTGGCTTATTTAGTTATTTTGCTGTTTGTGAATAAGCACAGTCCATTTCAAATAAATCAAAATTAAATCAAAATGTTCAGAGTTTCAGATCTTTTCCAAAGCTCCACGTCCAAAAAGGTAGTTTAAAATGTAAATAAAAACAATGCAAAGATTTGCAACTTCCTGGCCCATATTTCACTCACAGAGAAAACCTATTAAACACACATAAGTGTTTAAACTGAGCATTTTCAGAAAAAAGTGTGGCACTTTTGAATTTGGTGGCAGCAATACGTAGCAAAAAGTTGGGCGGAGGCAACAAAAGACTGCAAAATGAAGTCATAGTAAGAAACAGCTGGAGGAGCATTTCGCATCTAAGAGCACCTTTGGGGGGCAGAGGTTCGAATAATTTCAGAATAATGTTCCTCAGTGTAAAACTGTGAAAACTCTGAATGTTCTCATAATAACAGCACATAAAATAGAAAGTTTCAGAGAATCTGGAGAAAAATCTGCTCAAGGGACAAGGCTGAGAATCAGTAGAAGATCTCTGTGATCTTTGGACCCTCGGGCAGCACTGCATTAGAAACAGGGATGTTTCTGTCATGGAAATCACTGCATGAGCTCAGAGACGTGTCCAGAAGTCTGAAGTTCACAGTAGTCTGTGAACATAGTTCATCATGGCATCCACTAATGCAGGTTACTTTATTTAAAGAAGAAGCCATATGTGAACATGATTCAGAAACACTGTCTTCTTGGGGCCAAAGATCTAAAACAGACTGAGGCAAAGTGAAAAAAAACTGTTCTGCAGTCAGAAAAAACAAAATTAACATTTTTTTGGTGAACATGGACTACCACATCTGGACTGAAAAGAAAGGACCATCCTACTTGTCATCAGCACTCAGTTCAAAGCCTGCATCTCTGATTGTATCATGGTACATCAGCTTGCACATCTGTAAAAGCACCATATGGTCCCATCCAGATGACATGTTTTGTTGGGAAGGCCTTGCATATGCAATCCTAAACTACATACTGCATCTATTATAACATCTTTGTAAAAGAAGACTCGGGTGCTGAACATGCTGATGAAACAAAACATATGACAAAGAAGACCCAGGACTGTAGAACAGCTAGAATCACATATCAGACAAAAAGGGGGAAACAGCTGGTCTCCTCACTTTCCAGATGTTTACAGACTAGTGCTGAAATGCTACACGATAAGGAACATGGCCCTGTCCCAATTTTTTTGAGACATGTTGCTGCCACCAAACTCAAAATGAGCTAATATTTTTCTTAATATGGTTAATTCTCCCAGTTTTAACATTTTTCTTTAATGTTTCTATTATTAATAAAAATGTTTGGAGTCTGCCAAAAGTGTGACTTTGGTCTGGAGACTGGTGAGGATAACTTAAAACACCATTAGCCCTGAAGAACTAAAGGCTTTTTGTTAGTTTCGTTACGTTAGGAGATTCTAATAATTGTTAATAGACGGAAATAGTATTTCTGTCTTTTTGGTGAAGTTGACGTTGATGCGTTCATTATGTGAGGATTCACTGCCATCTAGTGGTCACAGTTTGAAACAACAGCATTAAATTTGTATCAAAAGATCGAATTATTTCTTCTCACTCGTGTTGGCCATTGTATTGTCACAGAGCTCCGTTAATAACACTTTTCTGCAGTTTTCACTGCAAGCTAACACGTATCCCTCGTGTTATCATTTTTTGTGGGTTTGGTTACACTGTGCGTCAGGGTGGCAGTGTGCAAGCAGCGCCTCTCTGCTCCACCACAGATTGCAGCTGCATTGAAGCACTCTGCGGTCAAATGATCTAGAAACACGAGCGTATCTCAGACACAGCCAGTCTCTGTCTCTCTCCAGGATTTCAGCGATTTTTAAAAAAACATTTTGAAGGCTTCACTACAGTTTCTCCATCAGAATGTCGTCATCTGAAAGTGCTGCGTCACATGAAGGTATGGCCATTACACTTGTGTTGCATTACTTTGGATTAGCAAGCTGTGAACGATCAAATCACTTACCCTTTGAAATGTAAATGTGCCTACATGATTTAATATTATATATGTTGCCTGGATGTGCATGCATTATATTAATGTCAAAGGTAATTATGACACACACATGACTCTCTGTTTGGCAGTCAGTGAAGCATCAGCCCCCACATCAGAGGCTGAATCTCTGAGAATCGTTCTGCTGGGCCGGACCGGGACAGGCAGAAGCTCCTCTGGCAACACCATCCTGGGAAGGTCTGCGTTCCTGGTGGACGTGTCCCCCTGTTCTGTAACCGCACGATGCAAGAAACAGAGCGGGATAGTGGGAAGGCGGAGTATCTCTGTCATTGACACTCCCGGGCTCTTCCACACACACCTGTCTTCTCAGGAGGTTATGGCAGAGGTGGGACAGTGTGTTGGTTTCTCTTCTCCGGGACCCCACGCCTTCTTGGTGACACTGCAGCTCGGCAGGTTCACCCATGAGGAGAGGGAGGCCTTTGAGTGGATCAAAGCTAGATTTGGGCCTGGAGTAATGAGGTTTACGATGGTGCTGTTCACCTGTGGTGACCAGCTGAAGGGGAAACGCCTGGAGGACTTTCTAGAGCAGAGCCAGGAGCTGTCTGAGTTTGTCAGCAGCTGCCATGGAGGATATCACGTCTTTGATAACAGCAGGCAGGAGGAAACAGATGAATGTTCACATCAAGTCATGCAACTTTTGGAGAAGGTGGATCAAATTGTGGCTAAGAATGGAGGCGGTTGCTACAGCGAGGAGATGCTGAAGGAGGCTGAAGGTGCCATAAGGGAGGCACATGAGAGGATTCTGGGTGAAGCTGGGCACGTGGTGGAGTCTATTCAGACAGAGGCTGAGGTCACAGAGGGGCGGCTGCCAAGATTGGAAAAGAAGTGGGAGGATGAGGAGAGGAGAAGGGAGGAAGAGGAGGCCCGGAAGAGAGCGGAGAGGCTTTTCTGGTGCGAGCTGGTGACCGCCCTGGGGAAAGGTGCTGCGGAGGGGGCAGGGATCATGGGAAAGGACAAGGGGAAAGGGAAAGCTGTGAAGAAGGCGAAGGTGGTGGAGAAAGTGGCAGCTCTGGCTGCGTCTCCGCTCTCTGTCAGGTCGGCTGCGAAAGCAGTGGGAGGGGCCGTGAGAGAAGGAAGCAAGGTGCTATACAAACACAGAAAAACTTTACTGCGCTGAAAGGTAAATCAAAGAGACAGGACACAACGAAGCCCACGTGGTGAGGACAAGTCACTTGATGTAAGGCCAGCTGGACTTCTTTAGGTTTTGAAGACGTTTCGCTTCTCATCCAAGATGCTTCTCTAGAGAAGGGGTCAAATCCCTACCAGTGGTTTATAGGCCGAGACCATGCACCAGGTGCTCTAGGGATGAAAAAGCCTCCTGGATGAGAGGCGAAGCATCTTCAAAGACCTAAAAAAGCCAAGCTGCCATTTTCTCAAGCTCCCAAGACCACCATGACCTGGATGAATGAGAACCTACAGATGCATCACTTAACTGTGATTATGTTTCCATTGTTCAACACCACAATCGCACCACACACGCACTCTTAGACTATACTGTGAAATACGAACTCACGGCACAATAAAGTCACACAAAAAAAAAAAAGTCCAGTTCATCTTATTATGACTTCACACATTTGTATTTGTCAAAAATAGGTTAGTTCGCTACACAGATACAATACATTAAAAAACATTTTTCCCATCATTTCCACCCCCGACACAATGGCGTGATTTGGTTAAGGTAACAACACAGGAAGATTTAAAAAAAAAAAAAAGAAGAACTGTTTAAAACATTGCAGCAGTTACCTTATCCGTCTTTGGCTTCATATAACAAGTGACAACATATTTTAGCCCTTTTTCCTCTTCTGTACAAATGCACTGACACACAAAAGATGACGAAGGGATTCATCAGATTGCAGCTGGCAGTGAGGAAAGGAAATGGTTTGCATACAACGCAGTGACCTATTCAGGGAGTGTCTAACAGCACAGAGTGAAAGAGGACAACACGCCGTAAAAAGATCGGGGAGCACAAATGTACAAACACTACCATATTTTTAAAGACTATGTGAAATGTGAAGGATTTATACTGAAAGAGAATTACGTGTAGTCCACCTGAGTGCTGTACAAAAAACATTGCAGCTACATTTTTGTGCTCAAAATACTCTTGATTGTTCAGGATGTAATGTAAGCACCTCCAGAGTCACAGTCACCCTCAGCTTCCAAAGAAAAACAAAAAACAAAACCCCCACAAGCGTGCACAAATACTGCTTCTGTACTGCTGTTGCTCACTTGCCTGGTGCATATTAGGGACACACTTCCAGTGTCGCACCTGCATCTTATGGACTAAGAAAACAACCATGTAAACTCCTGCAAATGTACAGACTTAAACCCAAAGAACCGATCAGACAAAAAAAGAAGAAAGAAAAAAATGGTCTAAACTACAATCACAGACCAGTTATATCATTAAGTACAAATACAGCTGAAGGATCTACTCTCAGATGCCGATACGTGGCAGGCACAGAAGGGTGGAGGGCTGTGGTGGAGGGGTCCGTTTTAAACCGGCATCGGCAGGGTCATCTTTCCTCTTCCCCGAAGCACTGAAGGAAGACGGATGAGAAAGAAAAAAGTGAGAACACAGCGAGGGTGAGGGAGTGTTTTTTAGCTTCCCCCACTCCTTTGTTTAGCAGGTGAGCAAACACTTTAGAGCAACCTACAGCAGCTGGCATTAAGGATACATATCCTCCCTCGACAGGTAAACAATCTGAGCAGAAGCTCTCTTTCAGTCACAGAGCATAGCTGTGTGCTAGATTTCATTGCAAATTACTTCTGCATGCTGTTTTATATCAGCAGAACAGAAAGTGCAGTAAAACAGGCAAGGCCGATAACCCTAATAATAACGCTGCAAATATCGGATGATTACTCAAACATAATTCTGGCGTGGCGTCCTGCCAACGTAAATGGATCCCACCTAGACTCGGCCCTGTAGCGTAGCAGCGAATGATCGTGTTCTTACTCACCTTTTGTGACGTAGAGGTAGAAGAAATCGCAGTAGAAGATGGTCTGCACGACGCCGGACACCACCGCGATCTGGTCGAAGAAGCCCTCTGTGTGATAGCGCCACACCCAGTTGGCGATGTAGAGGGCTCTGTAGAGGCCGAGGAAGAACAGGTAGTGGGTGGTGATGGACTCCGCCTCGCCGGTCTTGGTGATCATGAAGAGCTGTGGCATTATGGCCACTGCTTCCAGAAAGATGGAGAAGGTCCACAGGATCTGGAGGCAAAGGGGTGCGTGTTAATTTTAAAGCTGTTTTTAATTGAGGGAGCTCTACATTTCTGACAGACACCTTTACCTCCATTGGGGTGAAAGCATAGTTCTCCAGGAAGGACAGCCCGGTGACTGGGACCAGCAGGAACTCCACGCGGAAAGTGTCGTTCTCAGAGTCGTACGTGTTCCTGAAGCGCATGTAGATCAAGTACACTGTAGCATAGGACAAAGCCAGGAACACCACCTGAGGGCGGAGCCAAACACTGATCAGGAAAAGTGAACTTAATTGAAGACACTGTGAAACACTACAAGATGCTTTTGCTTATTTTGCTAACATCCCTGCTTTGTGTTTATTATCTATATATATATATATATATATGTGTGTGTTAGTGAACACACAGAGATCACAGCTGGTACAAGAAATGAATGACTCTAACTTATGGCGGTCATTCAGCTCATGGTAATCTGACAGGGAAATGTGTGTGTGACTGTGTGTGGGTGTGACCTACAAATTTACCTTCATGACCGTGTTGTAAGCAGAAATGTAGACCGTGAACAGGTCGAGATACCTGGTGGTGAAGACAATCGCAAACAGCACCTGAGACTTCCCAGAGATGCCTGTAATGGAAATAAAATGAGAGAAATTAAAAGTGAGAGGATGAAACAGAGAAGTTAAACGTTTCCTTTTTTTTCTTCTTTCTTCTGCAACTCAGCTGTGCAGCTCTCTCACTTTAAACAAAGCTGTATGATTGGTCGAGCAGGCTGCTCTTAACTTTGTTATCATTGCCACGTAGCTTCCACTGGCGCAGGACAATCAGCGCCATGCAAATGCCATCCTTAATGCACACAGCAGATAAGAGAAGTTTCATTGTGGCACGGCTGTTTTTGTGCACCACAGCCACACGCATACATCTTTAGCGCGGATGAAAAATCATAACAGCCCAAATGCACTGATATGATCGCACAGCACCCACACTGTGTTGCTAGTGTCAACCTACCAGCACACGACTTGGACCTCCATATCTTCAGCAACAGGATGATGATAGCCACCAAGTGTGACACGTCACCCGCCAGACGGAAGATATTCATGGTTAAGCAAAAAACCTTAATGCAACTCCTCACGGGCCTTGCACGTCCTCAGGAGGCAGTCACTGCTCATAAAACGCCAAAGGGGTGCTGTGCTGGCGTGGGCAGAGAGGCGACAAGCTGCGCGGTCACGGTCGGACGGCTCACTCTCTGTGCGCGTGACGCTAGACACAGACTCCGTGGATTCCGCTTACAGATCCGTGTGTGCCGTGGACAGACAGGAAAACCGCTTCCGAGGAGGTGACGTGGCTGATAGCTCAGCTCTTCGCCGTCATAGATTCATTACAGAGCTAAATATATCTGTTTCCGGCTTACGACTTTCAAAGTAAAACCTTGTGCTGGTTAAAGCGCATGCTCGTTGAGAGTTTAGCCCAATGACTGTAGAAAACACTCTTTAGTACATTTACTGATTTTTTTCTTTTCAATACTAAGTTCAACACACTGACTTCTGACTTCTGGGTGATTATTAGCTCTTTCACTATCCATAACTATTTTTATTTTGAAGGTTGTTCCCGGTAATGACCGACTTTCTATGGCGAACTTGATGGAAGACATCCTGCAATGCACTGATTTCACAGCAGATGGCGACAAACTACTTATCTACCTATCTATATGGTGTTTCGTTATTGGAAATGGTCCCTCGAGAGCAGGAGTGTCAGACACTGGTGCCCAGCTTTGGAAAATGTGAAGGAGGGCAAATTTGGGACTTACTGTCTGTTATTAACTGTTACAGCTTTTCCTACAGAATAACCTCCTTCATGGTCATTCATACTAAGACACAGTAATTAATTAAGTAATACATAAACAATTATATGAAAAAGTACATGTTTTTTTTTCATTATCTACTGTACAACTTTGTTTTTTGTTTTTTGTTCTTTTGGGCAGTGAGTTCAGCAGCATTTCTTTATCGCTGGGAAAAACTGAGATGCATTGTTAAAATTTATTTCTTATATTAGGATATCTCATGGATTGGTTACACTTGCAGGAAAGGGAGTTTCGCTGATCTGGCCCACTTAAGATCAAACCGGGCTGTATGTAGCCCATTGTAAAATCATTCTGATATTCCTGCTCTAAAGCATAGGTGGGGAATTAAAATTACCAGATGAGAAACTGGCACTGTTGTGGAGGGCTGCTCCAACAAACTAAACTCAGTTTAGTTGCTCAGGACTCATTTTGTCTCTTTATAAAGTGCTGCTGGTAAGAGTAGATGCTCCAATTAGGCCATAATTGTGTTTCCTTGGGGAAAATTAATGAGCCACGCCTTCTCTATAGGATAATTAAATGTATTTAATGGTGTTATTTAAAATGGTTTTCCTTTTAATTTGTTTGAATGAATCTCCTGGTTGTCTGAAATGTGTTTTCCAAACAAACTGCATTATTTTGCTTGTTGTCTTTTATTAACTTCACCAGTGGATCTATAATAATAAATCATATGACTTACCCATTTAAAAGCTAGTGTACAAATACATGCATTGGACAGATGGATTCACATTAGACAATATTTATTACGTATTCTGAGAAGTTTATGGTCAACTCCATGATTCCAGGGCAGATGCTACGAATGAAAAACAAGCCCATATGAACATCCCTCTATCACCACCACCACTACCACGGTGTTTGATGGTTTGAGGGGGTCTGTGCTGATATTAATTAAACATGGTGCTGTTCATTGTGGGAAAACATCTCCAATTCGGTGTTGTCTGTCCTAAAGACATTGTTCCAGAAGTCTCATGGCTTATTTAAATGTTGCTGTGCAAACCTGAGCTGTACTGACATGTTCTTTTTAGTGAGAAGAAGCTTTCTCCTCGCAGCAAGTTTTTTAGTGTTTTGCATCGTGATGAACTTTAACATTTAACATGCTAACTGAGGGCTGTGGAGTTTGTGGTGCTCGTGGGTTTCTGCAGCATCTCTGAACCTTGTATTGTCTGACTTTGTGTTGAATGTCCACTCCTGCAAAGATAGTTGCATAGTTGCAAGTTAACACACCTGAATGCTCAGCAAACTCCCAAAACCTCTGCTTTTGTAGAGGTACTCCCACTTTTGGATGATCAGTGAATCAAGTGGATTTGATTAGCACCTCCTGGCTGCTGCTTAACCTCTTAATTCCTATAGAAGCAGCAAGTGTACACTTAGTTTTTCACTTACTTTTTTTCACCTAGTCCTGTGAAAGCTTTTGTTTTCACATGACTGTACCACTGATATCACAAAAACCCCATAAAAGCTTTCAATAAAACTCAAGATGAAAAAAAAAAGATTACTAAACTATTATATGATATTTTTTAACAATAAAAAAATGAGTGAGCAAATGTACCCTGCAAAAAATAGCTCTGATTCCCACTTCTGTTTCACAGTTGGCAAGAAATAATTTGGAAACATGAAAAATGTATTTTTTTGTCTTCTAGAGTTGCACTGTGTTTTTCTCTTTGTGTTTTCTAAAGAAATTCAGATACAAAAGAAAAAGGCTAATGCCTCATAACTAAATGTCAGCTCAGTTTGGCACACAATGGAACAGAAAACAAATAATTACCAACTTATGAAACGCTGAAATGCGTAAAGCACTTCAGGACTGTTTAAGTCTGTGCCAATGGTGTTCATCCTTTTGCAGATGAGGAGTCTGTCTGCTTCAGAACTGTATATGTCTCATGAACATGAAGTGAAGATGAGTGGGCAGCTTTGACACCGGGCTTTAGGCTGTTCACCAAGAAGCAATGTTTGTGCTTTCTTTTTATTTGGCTAAAGAACCGGACTAGATTGTAAAGTGACCTGAAACATTTTACTCTTACTTATCAGTGTTTTAAAATATTCTCCACCCTCTTTGTGTGTTCACTGCTTTCTGACAGTTCCTCACCCTGGCCCCCTTTCCTCCTGATTCTGAGGAAAGCTGTATCACTGAATCACTGACACACTGTTTCTCACCATCCCGCGTTTCTGATCCCACATGATCCCACAAAATCTCCACCTCCTCCCTCTGACCGTAACCTACAAACTGAAGCCGAATTCTGGCCTTGCGTACATCACGCTATCCAACATCCTCCTCTCATTTTCATGTGATATAGACCTCCTAGATTACTCAGGAAATGCTTCCAGCCTACTTAGAGTACATCAGTGGTGGTGCAGAGAAATGAGGGGGCGACGGACACCAACGAAAAGTACATAGCTTCTTTATATACCCCAGAAGCATCCAGCACAGAGGCACTGGTTGTTTTTTCTGATTTGGTTATCCTCAAGCAGAGGCACGCACATATTTAAAAATCTGAAACATGAGAAAGCAAAAGTTCTCAATGAGCAAATTAAAGGAGAAATGGAAGAAAACTTAATGTATGCTATATTAGTCCATTAGTTCCAGTCTTATAAACACATTGATGAATGTTCATCGGCTGAATGATAGAAGCAAATGTACCACAAAGGACATCCCCTGGACAGAGCTGACCCATACTCCCATAACAAGTGTGTGCTGAGCAAAAGGTTATGGGAACTAATCTGACACCCAGGCCCGATTAATAGCTATTTATACATACACACAGCCTGGTCTGCCCCAGAGAGTCTGTCTGCCTGGTCATCTTCTGCTGGACGGTGTGAATGTCGGATCATCCTGTCTGCAAGCCTCTGTCTCCTCTCTTTCTCTCGCCACACATAGCTACTGCACTAGAACTGCATCCAGTTCAAAACCATCAATGCTCCATGACAATGGCTCCTGTCAGCTAGTAGAAATGACACCAGCTGTGACTAAGGGCTGTTATTGTCTTTAGAAATTAAAAATTAACTGTATATAAGTTTCAGCAGTCCACTAGAGGTTTGTTTTTATTTGAAATATGGGGGAAAAAATATTTATAGCAGTGTATTTCTACCTTATAAGGATCAGACCAACTGGATGGTTTAAAGTTGAGTTGTTAAACGTGCGGGTAGTGGACTAGAACTGGCCCTCCAAAGGCTAGAGATTTTACAGAGAGATTTTAATGTCTTAAATGTTTAAATATTTGTTTGTTTTTTAAGTTTACTACATAGACAGAAGGTCTTTCAAAGTTCTTCTTCGGACACTGGTTTTCACTCAACCTCCAGCTCGTGTATCCGACAATTTAGAGATATCCTTTTTTGTTTGTTAAATCGTAAAATAGCTCCTAACTCAAGAGATGAACCCATGTTGTGTCTACACATAACAGACAACTTAGCAAATACCCTATAAACCAATAAATAACCTTTAAATTGTAGGCACTTAAACAAGCAATATCCTGTCACAAAATACAGCTAAATTTATTAGCACTGCCATTAATTGGTAGTGGCTTTATATTTCAACATGACATTGATCTCTAACAGACTGCCAATGCAGTAAAAACACACATGGATAAAAAAAAACACAAACTTGAACACCATCAGTCATGGATTGGCCTCCCCAGAGCCCGGACGTCAAAATTATTGATGAAGTGTGTGATCATGTAGTGATAAAAAAAAAATGCAGCTAACATCCAAAGAACAGAACTGAAGGTCCTTCAAGTAACCCGGAGAACTATTCCTGAAGACTTCTTAAAGAAATGACACGAAAGCTGCCTAAGAGAGTTCAGACTGTGTTGGCTAATAAAGGTGGTCACACCAAATATTGACTTTTAAGCTTGTTAAATTTGTGCAAACTCTGTTTTGCCTGCAGCTATTTCCCAAAATATATATAAAAAAGAGATTTGGCTCAAGAGTTTTGTACAGTACTGCACACGGAAAGTAAAAAAAAAAAACAGCTAAGATAAACAGCTGTTTGTCACTTGTGCTGTACATAGTGAGCTTAACAAATGTGAATGCTTACTTGTGTTCCTTTACATTAAAAGAAAGGTAGGTCATTATGCAACAGTTAACTTGTCTGGCCCCCTTAAATTAACCAAACTGGAGCATACTGTATAAAGTTAGATTGACACCCCTTGTTTAAACCATTCTACTTTGTTTATTTGTGGTTTAGATTTATATTGTGTATATTAGCATTTCAGTACATTATACTTAAAGGAACAGACCTACACAGTGGTCTAATTCAAACTAATTATGAATGTTAATGTGTGCCTGCCATTTAATGCTAATGCATTCAAGTTTCTTGGTGCTTTTTCCTGCTCTTGTGTGGCAATAATCCTTTGGTGAAGCTTTTGTGTACTTTATGTGTATTGGACTTTCTTTTTTCCTGTTTTTTTTTGTTGTTGTTTTAGTCTTTGCCCTCTTAGACTGGCTTTTGAAATGTTTCATTGCTTTCGCTGTGTCTATTAACTTTAGAAACCTTGACTCCAGCTTCTGTTTATCTCTATGTCGCTGCTCCTAATAGCAACATGTCTCCGTCCTCCTCCTTGTTTCTCATCTGAGCAAATGCAACACCCACATCTGTATTCAAAGGAGGAGATTTTGAAATGAAGCACCCCTCCACTGACTCCTGCTCTATAATTTAGGTAGAAGAGGAGGAGAGCAAGACTTAGAGAAAAGCACGGAGGAGTGAGGGGCCTAAAGAGGAGCTAAGGGTGAAGGTGGACTGGGAGGAAGAAGGTTTCCATAGAAACAGCTTTGCTCAGTTTAATATCTGATATAGTGATGCGGATTCTGCATGAAGGCAGCTAAACTAGCAAACGTCTCCTGAGATTTTTCTTTTAAATCGTGCAAACAGACAAAAGAAGGTCTGAAAAGTACATTGAAACTGTTGAGGGGAGTTTGAGGTCTGCTGCTTCCCTCAGACTGAAACTATATTAGTTTCCATTTTCATTTTTGGAAACTCCACTCTGCTGTGTTTCAGGAAATATATTCTGTTTACTCCTCTATAATTATTCCTGAAGGGGTGCAGAGGCTCTGCAGCAACAGTGGTTTTACAGGTGTAGTCACAAACAGAAGTATCCCAAAGTATCCTGTAGTTGTCTGTAATTTCATGACAGTCGGTTCAATATTAGGACTTTCAACTCAAAAACATAAATAGCCTATTATCATGGTAGAGAAAAGGAAGAATGTAATGTTGTACAGACATTTATGGTGTCCAGTCAGTGAATCATAATGACTGTAATTCATCATGATTCACTGTTTCGAAATCATGAATGTCTGAAGAAAATTAGGAGTCACTCTGCTGAGTAGACATTGAGAATTTCACTGAGAAGCAGAAAAAAAACAAAACAACTGAAGTTCTGGTTATAAAAAGTCATAACATTTCAGGAAGGCAAGTCGGATTCATTTTTGGAGGATCATTAATATTTGTACAAATGTGAATAGAAATGTGATTTTAAATTGTTCCTGTCTGGACCACAGTGGTAGGCCAACAAAGTGACCGTGCTGTTAAGGGAAATGGGAACCAAGAAGAGGCCGCTAGGAAAGCTGCAACTACCCAGTACCTGAAGAGGATCAGGCAAGTCCTGAGGAGTCAGTTGAATGGAAAGAACAAGATCCGGGCAATCAACACCTACGCTCTGCCCGTGATCAGTTACCCTGCAGGGATAATAAGTTGGCTAAAGGAGGAGATAGAAGCCGCTATCTCTATCAGCAGCCAAGGAAGCTCCTGACCATGCATGGATGGTTTATAGCCCAGGACCCTGAGGCTGTGCACTAAGCAGGAGGAAGGAGGCCAGGGACTAATGAGTGCTAGAACCACAGTCCAGGATGAGACATCGAACATCAGGAAGATGGCCACGACTGACTGTGTGCGCAGTGAATACTTCAAGCTGCAGAAACCCGAGGAAGAGGAGGAACCATCATGGAAGGACAGAGCCCTGCATGGTAAGTATCACCGGCAGAGGTGGCTGACATCCAGAAATCCAACCAGTGCCTGGACAAAGCTGGGCTTAAAGACAGCACAGAGGCACTGATCATGGAAGCACAGGCACAAGCTCTGAGCATCTATCACACCAGGCAAGACCCCAGGGCGAGTGGCTCCAGCAGATCCCAGGAACAACACCCAAGATCTCCAGAAGAGCGCAGTCCTAGGAACAGCTAAGATACTGCGATTATTAGTAATGAGTTAATGCAGTCGTTTTGTTAAACCCTTTGAATTAAAGCTGAAAGTCTGCGTTGACCATTTGATCTGCAATCACTCTGATAGTGTACAGAGGCAAAGCTACAAAATGTATAGACGTATCTGTATTAACTCGCTGATCATTGTTACTTTGAAATAATAGTCCAATAGTGAACACACCATATGCTCAGTCATACTGCATCATTAAGTTGGAAGTTCAGGAATATCAAATTAAAGATTTGCAGTAAAATATGATTATTATTATAATTATGATTTTAAAATGAGAATTTTCGATATATTACTGAGATTAATCACACATTCTGCTCAGATTCAGGTCAAACAACACTTTCAGCACTTAGGTAACAAATTTGCACTCCTTCTGGAATGACCACAGTATGTGAGAGGAAGCCTGCTGCTTTATCACAGTTAAAGTTAAACTAAACACAGGGACAAAGTTTCAAAGCTTAAATCCAGCGCTCTCTGCCTTTCGTAGCTCACTGTTGTTATAACCTTTGTCAGGTGTTAACAACAAGCTGGAAAACATCTGTAGCACAGCTGTTCGGGAGTAAATGGAAAGCATTTACCGTCAAAGTGCAATTTGCGGCAACAGCCCTGTAATCATCAGGGTGATGCACAGTTTTAAACTGTGTTGGCAACTTGCTTAATCTCCAAGACCCCATATTTTTGTCTCCCACCTGTTGCCATTTTTGTTCCTTGAATAGAGTTACTTCAGAAATCATGACTCAAATGAGTTCCTGCTTGCTTACATGGGCACATCAGGCATTACTCAACACCTACACAAGCTGAGAGCACACCAAGTGGATATCCATTTAGTGTCATTTCCTCTCCTTCCTCTCTTACTTTCTTTTGCTTTTTTTCTCCTCTCCTCTCCTCTCCTCTCCTCTCCTCTCCTCTCCTCTCCTCTCCT